TGTGTGAAATACAGCATTTCAAAGCAATATTAACAAATTAAATGTCATAATTTGGTAGTTTATTCATAATGTTATTTAAATGGAGAGAGGCATATCCCTCCAGGCACTTGTTCCATGCTAATAAAAAGCGATTATGTCTATAGGCAAGGAAATATATCAGACTGCTTTATTTCCTGCAATTTATGATCTACTTGGAGTTTCTCACAACAGCATCATAATGAAAAAAAAATTCAGTGGTTTATCAAACCCCACTGACAGACTGTGGTATGTAGGGCATCAATATCTTTTTTTTTTCAACCTGCGTTTAGAGTAAGCACTATCGCTCACATCAGGTTTTGTTTTTCTGTTTTTTTTTTTTTTTTTTTCCTGATAGGATTTATGCATCTAGACAAGCTATTTGTATGTCACCACTTTCTGAAATGCCTGTAAAATAGCTGCACTGATACAGTTTCCTGAGAGTAAAAACCTGCAGCCTGTCTCCAAGTGGAAGTGTAGCATATATTGTTATGCTACTTTCATAGAGAATGTAGTAGTTTTTAGTGGACACAACATGGTCAAAATTTTCATTTGTCTTACCTGCTTAAATGCAGCTGATTTTTTATGACATTTGGAATTTTTCAGTAGAAGATAAGAGAGTTTGGTGTATGTGCATCAGTATGCAGGGCAGCTCCTAAAGACATCCTTGCTTTTTACAAACCAAAAGAATATTGAATCTTCAACTCCTTTTTTGCAAAAAAAGGTATCAGTTAAAAAAATGAACTTTCTGTGTGCTACGGTATGGAAGAAAATAAGCCAAAGATGACATATGAACAATATTCAAATTCTTGAATTAATTATTTGAACTAACCCCCCAGCTAATTCATTTAAGATGTGGCATACATCATGGGTCCATACAGGGCCCCATAATTTTCATTGTCGCTGGCTTTGTATCCATGTATAGAGAGGGTTTATTTGAAACCATTCTGCAACCGTGATTAATGCAGAGGCTGAAAAATGATAGATGGCCATGATCAATAAGATGGCAATAAGAGAATACCCTCTGCTTAAATCAATGCTATGACTGGACCCTATTCACCATTATAGCTGGCCATTTTTCTCATGCTGTTGAAGAGAGGGAGGGGGTCCAATAAATTTAATTGCCACAAATGCACAACATACACAATGTTTGTTGGAATATGTGCCATTGATCCTGTGGAACAAATGATTCTGGGGTGCAAATGAGTCGGTTAGAGTGGAGCAATACATCACACCGTATATACCTCCTCATACATCACAGGCTATACCTCTCCATACATCACTTGGTGTTGGGATGCAGCGAGTGGTTGGGAGGGTCCGGCATTAGCTCTGCTGCACTGCAGAGGAAATGAGTTCACCGTCACTTTCAGGGACAAACAGCAGCTTGTGTTACCTAACTCATTAGTTGCAAACCACATCTAAATAAAGAATCCATAGCTTAAGTGTTTGATCCCCCAGTTGCCCTCTTAAATGCACAAGGAATATGCAGATCAATGAATAAGGCCCACCAAGAGAAACACGATGCTTTAATTCATCATTAGTCCACCGAGATTGGGTTAGTGAGTATCCTCTGGACACTTGACTCCTAGAAGTGCCTTTGCTTGCACTTTCCCTTCACTCCAAGCACCTCGTCCTCGTCTCTGGGTCTTAAAGTCGAGGTCCGACTCATCAAAGCTTTCTATGTATGAAAAGTTACAGGAATAATGAGCGGTCATTCAAATGAAGCACATCAACCTGTCAAAGATTTAAATCATTTCTTTACACCAGAAAGAAAATAGAACCTACATGCTTCAAACAGCTTTTAATGCTAAAGCCAATCTATTCCTGTTTTCCATCAGCTTTAATGTCTTTGTCCAAGTGTGGGATAGTCATGATAACTGATAAACATGCACTATACTATCAGAAAAAGCGTTACTGTATAGGTCATTTTTAGTCCCCCAAGGTACAAACAATAGAGATGTACTCCCAAAGGTGCAACATCATCCTTAAGGTCAGTTTACGTACCTTAAATGAGTTTTAAAGATACACTATATTCATTTTCATAAAAGTGCATATTTCTACATTTTCATAATTGAACTTTTTTAACCATTTAAAATCCCAGGCTTATTACATACTGAGGCTTATTATTCAGTAATTACATTGTTCATTTGTGCATTTTTTTGTTCATCAAGGTAAAAACAATGTAAATGTACCCTCAACAGTTCAACAGTGGTTGTAAGGTCCAATTGTTCACCTTAAATAAGTTTTCCCAGGTGAAAAGTATGTATTTGTACCTTTGTACCTCATAACCTAATGTTTTAAAACAGAACAATAAAATAAAAAGCCTGAAGATGAGACGGAGTGTGTGGAGTCGGTACAACTTACATATAACATATAATTTCAATGGATTATGGCACAGTTATGTTCCCTGACTAAAGGTACTGAGATGTACACTTGAGGGTACCACCTTAGTGACAAGAGTTTGACAGTTTTGTACCTTTTTAATTCCGAGAGTGCACAGGGACTTCAGTGCAAACTGGCTGAGCTCTTCTTAGGCTGTAGAAGTGTATGATAAAACTTTGGGCCCGCTGATGGGCCCTGGCCATTTAAGGGGTTAAATTCAAAATTAAAAAAAAAACCTGGAGTCTTGTATGGAGTCAATGCAACTTATAAAATATTATTGAAATGCAATGTGAATATTGTTGTTTTCATTACCTAAAGGTACTGTAGATGTACCATTAAGAGTGCCTGACAGGTTTGTACACAAAACCTGTTTAAATTATGGGCCTATGTTTTGATTATACTCTTAACAGAAACAAAACGCAACACTTTTACTAAATATATTTTACTGAAACCCCTCAAAAAATGGTCCTTCAAGGGTTCTCACAAATGATTCTTTGTATGGTGAAATGGTTCTTCAGATAGGTGGAGAATGTGTTGCATATGGTTCTATATAGAACCTTTTTGAAAATGGTTCTATATAGCACCAGAAAAGATTCTGCTATTGTAACGATGTCAAGAACCCTTTTTGCTGTTATGTAGAACAATTTTTAAAACACTTTTTCAACACGTTCTCCATCAATCTGAAGAACTATTTCACCATGCAAAAAACCATTTGCATGGTTCTCTTGTACTATGGTTCTAAACAGAGCCATTTACTAAACAGCCCTTCAAGAACCATCTTTTTTAAATGTGTCGGACCAGACTGGCTAATGTGACGGTAATTAAATCATAGTAAGCATTTACTTGTTATTTGCGTGAAATAAACAAAACACAACAAAACCTCTGTACCAAGATGGTATGTAAGTAGATGCCCATTGCCGACAGTATGCCCATAGCAGTAATATTCCCATCGGCTAAAATTCACACTTTTCAACTTTCTAAGCGTGCATCAAGTCAGGTTACAGGTATCCGATAAGCTTGCTCAGTTCATACAGCTCCCTCTCTGCCTCTTTCTTCCTCAGTTATGAAATGATCTCAGTGGTCATGCAGGAAATGGGTGAGGAATTCATACTCTCATTTCCACTTCCAATCGATTTGACAACTGAGACACAGCTGTGGTTGGTGGGGATGGTGGGAACTGGGCAGGCATAGGTGTTGTGTTTACAAACATGAGAAGAGCTTTATTAGTGCACTACTGGGTCTATCTACATATCTCTAATATTTCTAGATGTATTCACACAGGCATATCTCAGATTCTCACTTCAGTGAACTGGTTCAGCTCTTATGCTTCCCAAATGCACTTATTTCATAAAGCAAGATTTCTCACTTAGCAGGATGACTTTAGCAAATCTGTCCATAGAAAATATATACACTAATCAGGCATAACATTATGACCACCTTCTTGTTTTTACGCTTATTGTCCATTTTATCAGCTCCACTTACTATATAGGTGCACTTTGTAGTTCTACAGTTACAGACTGTAGTCCATCTGTTTCTCTGCATACTTTGTTAGCCCCCTTTTACCCTGTTCTTCAGTGGTTAGGACCCCCATGGACCCTCACAGAGCAGGTACTGTTTGGGTGGTGGATCATTCTCAGCACTGCAGTGGTGTGTTAGTGTGTGTTGTGCTGGTACGAGTGGATCAGACACAGCAGTGCTGCTGGAGTTTTTAAACACTGTGTCCACTCACTGTCCACTCTATCAGACACTCTTACCTTGTCAGTCCACCTTGTAGATGTAAAGTCAGAGACGATAGCTCATCTGCTGCTGCACAGTTTGTGTTGGTCATCCTCTAGTCCTTCATCAGTGGTCACACGACGCTGCCCACAGGACGCTGTTGGCTGGATATTTTTGGTTGGTGGACTATTCTCAGTCCAGCAGTGACACTGAGGTGTTTAAAAACTCCAGCAGCACTGCTGTGTCTGATACACTCAGACCAGCGCAACACACACTAACACACCAAACCCACATCAGTGTTACTGCAGTGCTGAGAATGATCCACCACCCAAATAGTACCTGCACTGTGAGGGTCCATGGGGGTCCTGACCACTGAAGAACAGGCTAAAAGGGGGCTAACAAAGTATGCAGAGAAACAGATGGACTACAGTCTGTAACTGTAGAACTACAAAGTGCACCTATATAGTAAGTGGAGCTGATAAAATGGACAATGAGCGTAGAAACAAGGAAGTGGTCATAATGTTATGCCTGATTAGTGTATTTATTCTATTTCGAAGGTAGAATATATTGACGACATATAACAATTTTATTTGCATAAAGGCAATAAAATGAGAGTCAAGCGGACGATCCTGCTGGGCAGCGTTTCCTCTTGGTTAGCCAGAAATGATCCAGATTAATTTACTCTGAAATTCAAAATACATGACTGAAAAAAGAGTAAAACTGGCTTCATGTTATGTATGGACCAATCAACGAACAAGTAGCCAGTAGCGGTCAAAGTTCCTATTAGTCCGTATTCAGATTTACAGGATCTTATTGGCTAGAGAACAATTTGCGCAATGAGCTCATTGAGAGTCTATTGGTTAGTGCAGCAAAGTTTTAATGATATGTGAAAGCAGCCTGAGTTGAGAGGTCGAGGCTGTACTATTTGACTTTACTAGGCGGCTGAAATCGTTTCGAGTGAACGTTTAACGGTTTTCGTGAATCCCCGAGGCAAGTCTAGTCTTGTGGATAGTGGAAACTGTAAAAGGAGGTAAAGAAAAATTAAGTTCGCTCTTGCTTACAAGTTACGTTATCCAGACCAGAATGTCAGAATGAGAGTGGCCTTGACGGCAGCCTAGACAGCCCATACGAGAAACACAGAATATCAGAAACTTCAGCTTAGTACCCACATGAATAAAATAAAATGAGGAAAATGAACGTTTTCTCAGAGCAGCGAGCTTCCTACTACACCAGCCTGTGAAATCTGCCTCATAGGAGGCTAAAGCAGCAGTCATGAGCGTCTCTGATATATTCGGTTTTATATCGAGCTCAGGCTCTTCTGACCACACAGTGCAGTGTAATGAGCCTAATTCACACTGTGATATATTATAATACCGTACACACATTTCTAACATAATACATGAATTATTATTTTTTTAAATACTTGGCGTCCAGTATACTGGACATTTGGACTGAAATGTGGGAGATTTTATAGAAATGAACATATTTATTAATACCAGTGTTCGTTGGATGTACAGCAGCATGAAAGAGCTTCTGAACTATTGGAACCACCTGGACGTCTGCATGAATGGCTCCTGAAATATGAAATGATTTTTATCATAATATTTATATTATTATAATGAGCAAAGAACTTTTAAACACAAAGAACATACACTGATGTACAATACTATATCCAAAATTAACAGATGGTCGAAACAGTTGAAGTAATTGATGAAAAAAGCCAGAAAACATTACATAATCTATATTACATAGTACATTGATTTACATAATATAGGTGTATTACATACATTTATAAGTCCAGTGTTGTAGACAGAAATAACGTTTCTGGAAATGTTCAGTTTTTAGTTTGGGTCTGTTATCTTGACAATAATAAATGTTAATTTTTCAAAATCTTGTGCCTAATTCCAGTGTCCAGTGTACACATAAAATTCTTCTACTTTTAACAAAATAAAAGTCTTGAATGATTGTGTTTTGTAATGCATGAGACTGTTACGTATAATCAAAGCATAATTTACAGCACTGAGTCCAAATGTCCAGATCATTGGACATTAAACTTTATCTCTACAGTATGTAAAAATTAACTACCATTTCCTTTTTTACCTTTCACAAGAGGGACCTTCTAGAGGGACATGCATACAAGAACATTTCTGAAATAAATAGTTGGTATTTAGTCTTGGAGGTGGAGAGTATCCGTCTCTCTCGCTGCCGTATTTGTTCTTGTTCATGACAAGAATGAAAAAGAAAACATTCTACTAAACGATCAACCAATACAAAGAGTTCCTAAAAGTGAGTGTGGTGACGTACCTGCTTCTGTATAGAGCTAGAATACCTGGGGAAAAAACTGTCCAGTATACTGGACCTTTAGAATGAGAAAGTTATATATTTAAGTATCCAATGGATTAAGATGCTCTGGAGCAGCTGCACATGAGATTAATGTCACTGTGACTGATACTAAATGTCAGCTAGAGGGGTAGAGGGGTATAAAGCTCCCCAGCATTGGGCTGTGGAGCGGTGCGGCGCTCCATCCAGTACATATGGGATGGGTTGAAGAGCCATTTGTCATCCAGAACTAATCATCCAACATCAGCACCTGATCTCACTAATACTCTGTTGGCTGAAAGCAACCAAATCCTCACAGCAATGTTCCATCGTCTAAGCCTTCCAAGACAAGCTGCTACTGCAGCAAACTGGGTACAAGCTTCTTATTAATACCCTTGATTTCAGAAGAAAGTTTGGACAAGCTGGTGTCTACAAACTTTCGGACATGTAGTGCAAGTTGAACAAGTCTGCATAGCTGCACAGATTTTACACAATTAGTTTATATAAAAAGTGTGAATCTGTTTAGTTGCTGAGAGAGGGAGGGTAATTCTGTAGAATATCAGTGTGGATGAAGAGCAGACCAGGCAGGGCCAAATGAACAGGCCCTCACCTTAATGGAGCAGGTATAAACATGACAGCAGGCTGACAGCCAGCGTCCTGTAAACAGGGCTTTCCGCTGAGATGAGCTGTGAGAGTTACATTAACCTGTTCTGTCAGTGCTCATCTGAATAATATATTACATAGCGCAGTGCAGGCCAAGGGCAGTGCATGGGAAAGTGTAACCTGGCAGTAATTTCTCTTTCCCTGGCAGTGTGGGCTGTTTGTTTATCTGCTTCCTGCTGAAACCTGAGGATGAAGCCTGTGATTGTGGTGCACGGTGGAGCATGGGCCATACCGGACACATTAGCCGAGGCATCTGTGGCTGGGGTAAAGGCTGCTGCTCTGGCAGGGAGCGTGGTTCTGAACAGAGGGGGCAGCGCGCTGGATGCTGTTGAAGATGCTGTGAGGATGATGGAGGATGATCCGGTTTTTGATGCTGGTCAGTGTAGCAGTCTTGATGTTTAACCTTTTTCAAATACTGATTTTGAACTGTGTTTTGGGCATTATATAATGCTTAATCAGCCTGGGCTGTGGAACAGTGGGGGGCGGGGGGGGGGGTTCTTCTGTAGTTACAGGATTTACATCATAATATCAGAACCCTTCTTGTTGCGATAAAGAACCCTTTTTAACCATATACAACACATTTTTCATCAACAGAATTATGTGTAGAATTAAGCAAGACCACTTGTTCTTCACAAGAGTGAAAATATCAGCAAAAAACACTCATTCTGCCAGCATACATTCTAAAAACATTAGAATAGCTATATAGCTTACAAATAAACAAATATTACTCACGCTCGCACATTTATTGGCCTCATTGCAGCGCAACCAATTCACATTTTGTTTGTTGCAGCATAATATGATTGTAAAATCTAATAACTGTGGAGAATGATTGCAGTCAGCTTAAATAATTGCATTCATCTCAAACAATTGCTATCATTTCAAATAATTGCAATGAGGCGATTATGTAGTAATTGTGACAGGCTCATGCATATCTTATTATTAAAGCCAGGCATGTTAGATCTGATCTCTGGACTGGTAGATCTTCAGGACTAGGATAAGGCACTCCTGCTGTACCTGTACATATTTTTGGTAAGAATTATTATCCCTTTTTTATAACCTTTATTTTTAAGATCAACACCAACACAATTAACACCGCTTAGCTTTGGTCTGATTTTGCTGACTTGTTTTTCTTAGGTGAAACTGTCAGTGTGTGTCTTGTTTCCACTTAAGTAAGGGAGTAACCTTTAAAACTACTCAGCATGTTTTTTGTTTTTTTTATAGAATCAACCTTTAAAACTAATCAAATGGTTCTTTAACCCTCTGGGGTCTGAGGGCATTTTCTCAATTTTTGCATATCCTCTTAAATTCGCTTTTAAAGGCACCTGCATATAGCATGATACCCATATGTTTTGTGTCAAAATGCTCTGTTATCTTTGACGCTGCTTTACAAAACTGCTGCAGCAACTTCAGTGGCTGTAAACTCTTTGCATGCCATTTTTACATGTGTCTCCAGTGTCAGCTGATGGAAGAATGAAGCTCTTTCCGACATGATGGGTAAGGTCTTAAATATTTCCTGAGTGTCCACTGGTCGGTTTTACACAACATGTAGACGGACACAGGAATCCACCAATTACACACGGTGAGAGGCAGTGTGATGTGTATCTAAGTCCCTCTTCATAGCCTCATATCTCTGGATGTGAATCACATACCGTCTTGCAATAAGATGGAATCGAAAGGGTGACTCTACAGAGTCAGGAAATGTTTAAACCATATTTCTGTGCTGTATTATCACAAAGATAGAAAATATCCAATTTCGACATGTGGGCGCGTTTGTGGACCCCAGATGGTTAAAAAAGGTTTTTGTAAATAAGATGAATGAGAAAAATCTTTAAAGCACCTCCACATATTGTAAAGGTTCCATACCAATTAAACTTTTTTTTTTTTTTCCTGAAGCTAAACATCCTAGCCAAGAACCATTTAGAATCCTTTTATTTTATTTTATTATTTTTATTTATTCTAAATTTACTCCACTTAGCTTTTGGTTTATGCTGGTTCTTTTTCCTAGGCAAAACTGTCAGTGTCTAGTTTTCTCTTTCAGGTAGCAAAGTAACCATTAAAACTACTCAGCATAGTGTGTTGTCAGGGACTTCCTCTCAAGCTGGAACTTGGACTGTGTTTCACTGTACACCCCTGACACTTTGTTGTTAATGATTATCCCGAGAGCAAGGTGAGAGGTTCTTGAGTATTCATCAGATTACAGCGAGCCAGCAGGGACCGAACGAGACACTTCATTAACACAAGCTGCCTGTCAGGGTCTATCTCATTTGTGATGGCTAACTGCCACCATAGGTGAAATGGCAGATCGTCTTCATAGAAGAGCAGCAGAATCAGCACTTCATCAAGGGGGGGATCATTTTATACACTGGAGTAGCCAGAAGCACAGACTGATCAATAGCTGACTAATGCAGTGCTACTTAGAGAGGAGACAGGCGCGGCTAGGTGTGAATGAGTGGAGCGCATATTGGGGAAATAAGATGCTTCTCACTCAGCAAAAGAGATGAATATGAGAGCGTTATGGTGTCTGAATGTGTATCTGATTATTCCTTAGCTGTTTATGTTTGCTGTCCTAGTTGCTTCAGGTGTCACTCTGTTTTTACTGTTTTTAACAGCCAAAGTTAATGTGTGCATATTGTGCATTTACAATCTTGTAGAGATGTTTATGCTCGAAAGATGCTTTTGCTGCAGCATGCAAAAATAGGCCTGCACAAAATATTGTTTGTTTGTTTTTATCACAATACTGGCCTTTGCAGTGGTGAAATCAGCAAGGCTTTCAGTTTGTAATTAAGTCATAAAGTCCATAAAATCCATGCCAAATAGACAAATTGATTTTTTTCTGTCAAGAAATCACACTTTTTTGTCTTCCATAATTTCAATTATATATTGATCTTAATAAAAATATCTCATTAAGCATTTAAATTTTTTGTGTGAAGAAACACGGAGTCCCCACTATACTGTTGTGATGAGGGAACATTTCTTGCAAAATTGAATACCTCTCTCCCTGCTATAAAACCGTATCATGCCAGTTTCTTAAAGCTGCACTATGTACGTTTTGGGGATTTGGAGACCTTTCTGGTGGAAATGTATAGTACACAACATGCTGAAGAACATTCTGTAACATCAGTTGTGTATCGGACTAGAGATCTGCACGGGACTATTTTTTTAGTCCCACTTCTGCAAAATTTCACCCGATCTCGCAGAAAATCGGAATCATTTGTCCCGCTTCCGCCTGCTACAGACACATTTTGTCCTGCCCCCACCCACTCAGTTCCATCAAGGTGAACTGACCTCCAATATCTGACATAGTCTATTCACAAAGACATTATCCTCTGCTGAAATAACACGGCAGTCGTGGTCATCAGGCACACTGTGAAGTAACCTCACCATACACTTTATTCCCAGTAAATACAAAGCAAGAATCAAACCACAGAATGGCAATTTTTGGTGTTTTGCTGGGCTCAGCAGCTGTGGCTGGGACTAGAGGCTCCGCTGCTATTGCTTTACACATATATATATATATATATATATGATTTAGTGATTGTTCTACTTTATTTACTTTATTTAGTTCTACTATTGTCATCATGCCTTCATCATGTGACATTAATAAAATTCTAAAAGATATTAATGTATATTATAAAGGCATATGATGTGGTCCAAAAACTCCCATGAAGCCTGACCCAACGCCTCTGACTTTTAAATCATTATTTTAGACTTTACAGGGAGACTTGCAGCAGCGCCCAGACACCACAGTTTAGCATGTTTTTCTCCTCTGGTCTCAGTAATGCTACTTTTTTCAGTTTAAACAAAAAAATCTTAGTACAGCTTTAACAGTAAATGACGTGACCTTTCTGTGAACATTACAAAGAAATTCATAAATAACTGTTTACTCTGTCTGTTTTGTACGACGGGGTGGATATGTTATACTTGATGTACCTTGTAATGGAAGCCGAAAACAGTAAATTATCAATGTTAAATAAAAACAACTTTTTTTTAGAACTTGCTCCCCTGAAGGCTGACGGGATATCACTTACTCGTCATGATGTCACTTAATGAGACAGTACATTATTTTTATGCCTAATGTGTAATGGAGTGGAAAGAAAAATTCAAGGACGCAGATAAATTGCTATATTTTTCTTGAAATGAATGTTTTTATATTTTATATTAATGTGGAAACAGATATACATTTTAGCATGACAAAGGTTTGTTGTTCAACCTCTAGTTAGTAATATTTGAGACGGAACTTGCTTGGCTATGCAAACAAGCCTGTGTTCGTAATAAAATTATAAATAAATAAAACATACCTTTTTTAGACTTTTTTAATACAAAGCTCACACAGTGTGCAGTAAATGAATACATGAAACACACTAGCACATTTCCTGTACTTTTAATTACTTGCAATATGAGCAGCATTATTTGCTTATTAATGGGCCAAACTGGCATTTTAAAGTTTCAGTTTTAAACCATTTGCCTATGTAAGTAACATGGATCATGTAAAGTGCCACATAGAAAGTAAGAGGCAACTGGCTATTCAGCACAATGAGTCAAGTATAACTATGCTATGACATTTAGCTATAGGTTTAACAGCACTCAAATACATTCAGATACCCACTTTACAATATTTATGCAACTCAGATCTGCCAAAATAAAGACAAATTTGTGCTTTGAGCAGAATCTGCTGATTCTGATCTTGGCTGATTGCGATTGTGCATCTCTAATTAGCCTATTTTCGTCCCTTATACACTGCATCAGATCCACATTCAAATTTATTACATATTAAATTATTAAATTACTAATGTTTTCATTGTGCTTTGAGCATCCTGACAAATTCATATCATCTAGCAAATATAAATAATTTTAGTCAAAATAATGTTGGCTTGTCTTTAAATGTCACATTAATGGTTCACCAGTACAGTTTGAATATTTTGCAAGGTATATTGCAATTAGGGGTGGGCAGTATAACCATATCTTATCGTTATTGTGATAAATTATACCACGGTATGCTTTTCTGAGCATATCGTGGATATCGTCACTACTTAAAGAACACTGACTAATTACATATTTCATTACAGATAGAGTGTAATTAGGCCTATTTAAGTTGCAGTGCAGTTTGTAAAACTTTGAATAAAATAAATGTAGTTGTAGCTTATTATTACTATTATTTACTTTTTTATATGTGTCTCCAGAGGTTCTGTTTTGTCTGTTCTAAATTATTAAACCTCAGAAAAACAAAATATTTGATGCATATCGTGTATTATAAAAATGTTTTATAAATGTATAATGTTTTTTACATATCACCCAAATAGCAGATGTTTAGTCATCATGTAGTATTTTGGCCATATTGTGCAGTTCTAGTACAAAATCAGCCTTCAAGTTTTGGCGCTCTCGATTTAGGCTTTCAGTGGGTTCATGCTGTAGCAGTGTTCCTGAACCATCCTCTTCACACTTCAGTCATTTCATACATACTACTTTTGTGCACTTCTCCCTCCTTAATCATTTCTGTAGAAATGCTCTTTTGCCGCAGTAAGTTGACAAAGCTCTGAACAGGGGGTCTACAAGCATGAGGCGGAGGATCCAGCCAGATTCCACCCAGATGATAGTAGTTAGACTCATTTCTCCCAGCATGCTTCCATTGACTGAGTATGTCCACTCTCGCACCAAGTGTTGTGAAGTTTCAGAGTAGAGTCCCTTACCAAGACTAAAGGTCAAACTTAATTTTCCCTCTTTTTCCTCCCTCTGTGAGAAAATGTGCGTGGAGAGAGGGATACGAGATGGAGCCTGCTGGAAGAATGCAGCGGGTGGAGGGGGGTCGGGGGGGGCAGCAGTCATTCTCTTCAGAGTGATACTGTAAGAGTCTCCCGCGGCGCTGCCGCTGTGTTGCTGCAGGTCATGGAGCTGTGCTGAATACTGATGGAGAAGTGGAGCTGGACGCCATCATCATGGAGGGAGAAACACTGGCCGCCGGAGCTGTTTCCTCAGTTAGAAACATTGCCAATCCTGTTAGCCTCGCCCGTGCCGTGATGGAAAAGGTGCATTTTCCACCATTTCTACCCTTTCACGATTCCTCTGTTTCTTTGATGGATTAGCTGTTGTGTGATGCATTTGCCCTATTGATCAAGCTGAACTCACATTTTCAGTTTCATGTAATTGTATTCACTCTTTCTTCTGTTGGATGTAGGACTGCGCAATATATAGTTTGTTAAAGGAAGATTCCACATATTTTTCAAAATGTCTGTAATTAAATAGTATTTTATACATTGATATATAAACAGAATCATTCAGAGTGGTTTGATGTGAAGTGGTTTGTTGTAGAGAAATTTACAGACTCAGATTTCTGTACAGTGGTGGTGATAGGAACCTGGGGCCACAATGCTGGCAGTGCAAATAATTTCATATGGTATGTCGGTAATGATAAAATAGTGGTAAGTCTGAAATAATAACTTTTCTTTGGGTACTATTTTTCCTAACGACACCCTGCATGTACTTCTACACTGTGTATGTATTTTAAAAATGTGCTTTAGGCCAAAAGCTTATCACAAAACTATCATAAAACAATATTCCAAGCAACAGGTAGCGAATTCACAGGCATTTTGTGTGATAACTGCCTGAAGTAACTTAGAGTCATTAAACTGTTCAGATGTCTGGTTCCTCTCACCACCACTGTGAACAATTCTGACTGTAAATTTCTCTAGAATGGAGCATCTTTCACATTAAACCACTCTGAATGACTTCGTTTGCTTATTGATTGAGCAGATATTTTGAAAAAACTGGAATTCTCCTTTAATCATTGCCATGGTATTGACCTTTGCAGTACTGATATCACAGAGGACTGTAATGTGAAAATGAGCCACTAAGAAATCCTTCCTTTTTTTAAATTATGTGCATCTTGACTGATAACAGACAGTTAAGATGATGTTCAGAGTGGATGGATGAATCAGTGTATTCATGTGATCCAACAAACTCTGGTCAAATTTTGGTGAAAATATTTTTTTTCTTTCCAGGCTGACCTTTAATCGTCTTACATTAAAGGTTTGCCAGTATGTTTTAATATAATGTACAGCAAACAATGACTGCAATTTGTTGCAGTATAATCACAATATGATATTTATTCCATCTCATGTGGTCATTTATTATAGGCTTCACTGATGTGTATGTCTGGCTCTGATAACAACTGCTGAGGCTGATTTGTCTGCTGAACCTCACCATGGAAATGGGGAATTATAAGAATCAGCACTCGATGTTCTTACCAGTTACCTATTATTTGAAAGGCTTCTTTGAAGATCCTGTCCAGGTGCTGCCAAGTCTACTGAACAAAGTTAGACAACACATGAATGAAACACATAGTGGATCAGCACTACAACCTGTATTTCTTAAAAATACGTAAATGTTTCCCAAAAAGCCATGGCATTTAGATCAGAAGCTGGAATATCATGACTCTCTCTGGTTCCTTAAACTTTAAGATGTTATTTCATCTGCAGCTTTGAGATGACAGTCAGAGGGAGATCAATGCTGGCTGATTTTCAGATTGATTTCAATCAGCACTCTTTGTAATGGTGAAAATGGAAGTCTTATAATATGAATTTGCTCAGATGGAGCTCAATGATTCAAGCCATCCAATGTGCAGCTCTTTTCTTCTCTTTTTTAAGACAGCTTTGTGAGAGAAATGTGTCTTTAGCATGTAGGTCCTAACTCATTTCTGCCATTCTGAGACAATCAGGAGGGAAATGTAAAGGTCTCTTGTGCTAACAGTAAGGAATTGACGACTTCAACGTGGAAGCGATTTGAGTGGTGTGGCCAATGGGTGTCTGACTTAAGATGTTCTCTTAAAGGAGTTTTCTAGTGTTTTCCATCAAAAAAAAAGCGTATAGTTGATCCAGTTATTGTGATATTTCATGGCATTTTTAGGGCATTTGTTGTGAAACAAAAGAAAAAATGTTTTAAAAAATTCCTTTAAAGCTCAGGGAAGACGGCAGAGAGCTCATTAACAGAAGACTAACAGCATGTCATTCTGCAATAGCTTTTGCCTTGATTTATTCATCTGACTAAGATGCTCAATGTATCTGACAGAGTTTATAATTACTTGTTACAAATAGCAGATTTATCTCGCAGCAGCGTAAATTCCACATCAATCCTTGTTTATGAAAGTCAATACCAGAGGAATTAGTCAAAAATTAAGTACTAGGATCATTAATTTTTAGCCTGTGTCTCAGGAATCTTGTACCTGTTTCAGTGATTTTTCTCCTGATGTCTTTTTTTGTGCTGCTTAGAATTCTGCTATTGAAATATTTGTCAATAGAGCCTCTATGAAGTGGTTTTCACACCTCTTATACACCAATTTCACCTTCCAAGGCTGCAGACACAGGGGGAACACAAAAAGCCCAGATTACATGAGAATTGATTTGGTACAGCACCTGTCTTGACTGCCCCAAAAGACCTTGGCCTTACCAGGGATTGGCAGGTCTGTTTAATAGGCAGTATTAAAAATTCATCAGAACGTGATCAATGCAGCGATCGAGCTTCAGTGACCTCATGCTCTTGCCTGTGATCTAAAATGCACTACATCTGACACAGAAAAATGACATTAATAACCACTTTAATATTTAAAAGTTCCCCAAGCTGGACTTATCGTCTGTCTCCATTTTATTTCAAACTCAGAGCTAAATAGGACACTGAAAATGATATTATTTGGTATTATGGCAGTGTTATCTATTGCAGTGTATCCCTTTGTGTACCAAATACATGCATCTACATGCATAGATCAATATGTATCACTCTTTTTAGGCCTGTGTTAGTAACAGAGTAATATTATTAGGGTAACCAGGTGGAAAGCACATTTAAAGGTTCAGCTACTCATACATGTGGGAATATTCATCTCTTGCTTTGGTTTGCATGCAGTAAATCAATAAATAAACAATACATTTTTACAGTCACTTGGGGTTGTTACCGTGTTAGTTGGGTTAAGCCTTAACTGCCACAGACCTATACTGTTTTGTGCTCCAGTGGTGAAGGATGTGGAGCCCTCCAAAATTATCAGCACCCATTATTGGCATAATTTTAAAATGAATGTAGTCATATTTGCAGTACTTAAAACCCATTTCTGCCATGGTGAGACAATCACAAGGAAAAACGTAAGGGTCTCTTTTGCTGTGATGTTCTCTTAAGGGAGTTTTCCGTAATGCCTTATATTTATATATCTAAAACACAATTTTTTATATTTCATTAGATGCTTCGTAGATCCTTAACTTACATTCAACAAAATATCTATAAATCCACCTTAATTCACTAACCTTAGCCTTAACCTCACCCCAAAACCTAAACTTAACCCTCACCCTGGCCCTAACTTTAACCTTGATACAAATCCTAACCTTGCCACTGTTAAGAATCAACTGAGTTTCACCAGATAGTTTATTACAATTCGAACATCAGTAGATAATCTATAGGAGGCTATAGCACAGGGGTATCTGCAAAGGGCCGGTGTGGCTGCAGGTTTTCATGCCAAACGAGCTGGAGCTCACCTGATTCCACTTGTTTAATAAGTTGGTCTCTGTCTTTAGCTGTTGATCATGTGAGCTCCTGCCCTGTTGGAATGAAAACCTGCAGCCACACCGGCCCTTTGGGGAAGAGTTTGGACACCCCTGCAGAAGGTGAGACCGAATTTACTAATATTTTGTCACAAAAGAATATATTTTATCTAGTTATCTTGGCATTTCATGGCATTTTTTGTTAAACATGTGCTTCCAAACTAAGGAATAGCTGTAAAATATTCCTCAGTAAAGACAGCAGAAAGTTCAGTTAACCATCACTGGGCACAGGCCTGTGTTGTTTTGTGCCGCAATGGTGAAGCTTGTGGAGTCACAAAATGACTGGCACTCATTATGAGAACATTCTAAAATGAATATAATCATGTTTACATGTACCTACAAAAAAGCACTCTTTGTTGTATATCAGCTTGGTGTTACACTCATAATGTGAGAGAGACTTTGAAGTAAAATGTTCAAATGCTCAAATGATGTATTTTTATATGAATTTACATGGATATGGATTTTCTTTTCTGTGACTAATTGTACTTAAGGTTTAGAGTGCTCTCATTTTGAGCTTACAATCAAACTGATATACAACAAAGAACAAACATTTCATAGTCTTCTTTTCTCAAATTACCACTATTTCTGCAAGACTCTTGAGATAATTTTTTTTCTGTTTGTATTTGTCATTGGGAATTAGGTGGCAACATTGGGAAAGACAAGTCCTTCAGTAGGCTTTTCAAAGAGTCTGCCTCCACTTATTTTGTGAATAGTGACCTTCAGTTGAGAGTCACAGCAATAGTGATGATACAGCTATGAAATTACCTGCATAGTTGACCATGAGTTGAAGTGCACATCATCCAGTTTTTTGGGGTCATTTGCAGAGTTCTGATCTGCGGCTCATTATCTGAGCACCAGCCGTAGGTGCTGTGTTCTTCAGTCGGCTTGTATCAGCAAGAATGCTGGCAATTGCTTCATTTGATGTGATTTAATAGCTCCCTCCAAGCCGTACACTAGGCCACTAAAGCCCACAGCCTGGGAATGTACAGACGAGGTAGATTGAACCACAGCTGTGACTCAAGAGCTAATTGGAGCTGTTAGCATGCTGAGTGCGCAGGTCAAGGTAGTACATCAGTCTTATTTGTCTGTTCAGGTGATGAGGTTTGAAGGCCAGTGCTGACTTTTACAAAACCTAGTTTTGCTGCAGTGTAGGTAATTACATTACACAGAGCAACTTGGAGAATAATGATGCCATTTTCTGTGAAATGTCATTATTCAATTATAACACATGCTTTTTTTAAAAACAGTACAGCAGATAAAATGTTTGAATCATTTTAGATAAATGCAATGTGTCAGTGTATTTTCTTTTGCTCCTTAATGTTTCAGATCATTACTGACCTGTTTTTTCGTGTTTTAATTTTTGTTTATTCAGACTGATCATGTCATGTTGACAGGCAGAGGGGCAAACCTGTTTGCAGAAAGCATCGGGGTGCCTACACTGCCCACAGACGCACTGGTGACTGAGGAGGAGAGGAAAGAATGGGAACACCGCTGTAAGAAGTATATTGTTGGTGTCAAAGAGCTCTTTAACTCACAATGGTAGGTACTTGGCCATCTTAAAGCATGCCATCTCAGCTAGTTATCATGGTACTTAGCTGACTCAAACAACAACTCAGAATAAACACATAAATTTAAATTCAGCTCAACTGAAAAAGAAAAGGAAAAACTGAATTCAGTAGATGAATTGGGTAAAGTAGGTGATAAATCGGGGCACTTGTGAATTGAATTTTACTACTTGCCTCCTGAACAAACCCAATAAAGCAATAAAGCTTGAATTACAGTAATGTTGCTATGGTTAAGGGGTAGTGTTAGGCTTTTATAAAACAGTGACAAAGCAACATATGTTAAAATTCGCAACAAAGTTAATGATCAACAAATTATCACTGCAATAAGCATTTTTTTGCAAAACATATAATAGACCACTTTCAAGAATTCTCTTTGTTTCCATTTTATATATATGTATATATATATATATATATATATATATATATATATATATATATATATATATATATATAATATCCTTTTCCAAAACATGTTATATGCAAAATAGTTACAAATGGATATACAGCATTTTGCAATATAAACTCTTCAGTTCCGCCAGTGAGTGATGTAGTCCACTAAAAGAAAAAAGCATGGTTGCCAAGAAAACATTAATGTAAAAGACAGCTCAACCCAAAGAAAAAATGACTTTCTTAAGATCAACTTTTATTTGTCTCAGTATGCCATTAAAAGAGAATCACCAATTTCTCTTAAACCCCCATAAGAAGAAAAGAGGAGCTTAACCCAAGCATTTAATTGTAAAATATTCTGGAGACAAACAAGAAAATCTGAGACAAACAAGAGAAGTTGTTCTTCTGTCTCTCAGACAGTAATCAGATAGACTGCAGATGAGATCCCATAGTTTTTAATGCAAATATTATTTTATTCAAAGTGAAAAAATCCAAGGGTTGTTTTTCAGGAGACAAATTTCAGGAATAGAAGAAAATTGCATATCATACTAATTTTGAATAGAACTGAACCATGTCTAGGAGAAATAAATGATAACAAGACGATTTCTTATTTAGAATAGCTCTATCCTCTGTGAATGTTTTTTAACTGAATTGTGTGTACTTTGAGTATTTTATAACGACTTTGAATATGGCTTAGCCAGTCAGATTTTAGAACCACAACTATCTGCTTTATAATTTAAATTTAACTGACCCCAACCCAAAAACGTGATAATACAGGGTATTATACTGAGCTGTTCGAGCTTAACTGCCATACGACAGTCAGAAACTCTATGACCCCCTCTTTCAATTGGTATGTGATTGGTTCCTAGGCACCTCACGGTTGTAAAAATATGGCGCTATGAAATCTTTTTGACACACCCTGTATTTATAATATTATCCTTGATTCAACCTGTACATCCATTTGCTTCGTTTTTTTCAGTAGCTTGTAGGGAATCACATAATAAAAAAATTAAGATGTTAATGTAGTCTAACCTTCATGATATTATTGTTTACTCTAGTTTCTGAGAGAGAACTCTTTGCAAGACATTTTGTTCAATAAGCATAATAGGTCAGCCCAGTGATGGGTCAGTTTATCATACAGTGGTGCATCTATCTTTATTTTTAGCCCTGTTTGAAGTTATGTTTGTTTGACAGGTTTGAATTAGCCCTGCATGCTTCACCTGTCCCATTTAGATACTTTCATGTGTAGTTCCTCTTTTATCACCGGGAGTTGCTTTAGGGCCCTTGTAAGGTTCTGTGGTCAACAGGCCTGCAGTGTGTACGCTTCTTCAGACATGAATGGCCTAGGAGAGGCCCATTGACCCTGTTCCTCACAGCAGTAAGCTGCACCTGTGCTGGGGCTCAAGGCTTTCCCAGTGGCCTTAAGGCACTGCAGCCGCTCCTGCAGAGTCGCTCCAGTCTGTCACCTCTGCTTCCCTGCGCCAAGAGCTGAGGAGTGGGGGAGGCCAGGCCGAGGCAAGGTGTAACCCCAGCCCCGCTGGGAGCCGGTAAAAATAGTGCCGTGGGGGTGCTAAGTGACAGCTGGCTGAGCTACGGCCTTTCATCCTGCCCCGCCGCCGCACCTTCATTATTGATGGCCTCCCCGCGCTCAGCCACACCACTGTCAGTGAGCTCTTTTATACGAAGCCCTTGGAACGCAATTACCCTCCACCCTTCATTTAGGATGATTATACAGCAGCTCCCACTGCCCAGTCTGCCTGACCCTGCTCATATATAACACCAGGCCGCATGTGACAGCGCTCGCGGAGGGCACAGAGCCAAATTAAAACACACACTGATTTAAATGCAGTTATAATTAAAGTCACTGCCCTGCTTCCGAGGTCAAAAAGTGGAGTCAAATACACTGTACTGTGTTTGCCAGTAGTTCATTGCACTCGTTCGCTTAATGGAGTAAACATTTGTGTGATCATTACGGCCCGACCGATAGGAACATTTTGTGGCGAATACTGAACTATACTAAATACTAAAAATTCCAATAACTGATAATAAGCCTATGACTAGGCTTAACCCCTGTGCGGGAAAAGCAGCTCCAATAGTTTTAGTAAAACATTGCTTTACTGACAGATACGACTGGCTGTTTTCAACTGTCACACCTTTTTAACTCTAGTAAACAGCAGAAACTCACAGTCTTATTTTTTTTTTGCAGAGTTGGTTTCTGTTAATTGCCTCTTATTTTTCTTATTTTTCATTACTTCTCTTCATTCAAAAGTGTTATACTGTTTTTTGTTATTCTCAAGGGGAGAATTGTATATATTTTACATCTTTTTATTATACTAACCATGAAGTGGTGGAGACTCTCTTGGGCTCTCCAGTGACACAACCATCAAGTTTTAAGAGACCAAAAAAGTTTCTCAGCACAATATTGCCAAAAATATTAATGTGGTAAAAACATGAAATGTCAATATTGGCCAATATTATTGGCCAACTGATATACACTATATTGCCAAAAATATTTGCTCGTCTGCCTTCACACGCATATGAACTTGAGTGACATCCCATTCTTAATCCATAGGATTTAATATGATGTCAGCTCACCCTTTGCAGCTACAACAGCTTCAACTCTTCTGGGAAGGCTTTCCACAAGGTTTAGGAGTGTGTTCACGGGAATTTTTGACCATTGTTCCAGAAGCTCATTTGTGAGGTCAGACACTGATGTTGGACGAGAAGGCCTGGCTCGCAGTCTCCGCTCTAATTCATCCCAAAGGTGTTCTATTGGGTTGAGGTCAGGACTCTGTGCAGGCCAGTCAAGTTCTTCCACACCAAACTCGCTCATCCATGTCTTTATGGACCTTGCTTTGTGCACGGTGCGCAGTCATGTTGGAACAGGAAGGGGCCATCCCCAAACTGTTCCCACAAAGTTGGGAGCATGAAATTGTCCAAAACCTCTTGGTCTGCTGAAGCATTAACAGTTCCTTTCACTGGAACTAAGGGGCCGAGCCCAACTCCTGAAAAACAACCCCACACCATAACCCCCCCTCCACCAAACTTTACACTTGGCACAATGCAGTCAGACAAGTACCGTTCTCCTGGCAACCGCCAAACCCAGGCTTGTCCATCGGATTGCTAGACAGAGAAGCGTGATTCGTCACTGCAGAGAACACGTCTTGTGCTTGGTGATGTAAGGCTTGGATGCAGCTGCTCAGCCATGGAAACCCATTCCATGAAGCTCTCTATGTTGTTCTTGAGCTAATCTGAAGGCCACATGAAGTTTGGAGGTCTGTAGCGATTGACTCTGCAGAAAGTTGGCGACCTCTGCACACCATGCGCCTCAGCATCCGCTGACTCTGCTCTATCATTTTACGTGGCCTACCACTTCGTGGCTGAGTTGCTGTCGTTCCCAATCGCTTCCACTTTGGTACAATATCACTGACAGTTCACTGTGGAATATTTAGTAGCGAGGAAATTTCACGACTGGACTTGTTGCACAGGTGGCATCCTATCACGGTACCACGCTGGAATTCACTGAGCTCCTGAGAGCGACCCATTCTTTCACTAATGTTTGTAGAAGCAGTCTGCATGCCTAGGTGCTGAATTCAATGATTTAGATGGGAGAGTGAATACTTTTGGCAATATATATATATATATATATATATATATATATATATATATGTATATATTGGGACAAGGTAGGTAGGTGGGTGTGTGCGCTGGGTGGACAAATGATGGGATTGTTGGATATACTTTACTGATCCCCATTGGGAAATTTAGCATAGAATTAGCGATATAATTACCTACATTGTTAGAAAAAAAGGGTACTGGTAGTATTATAGTACTTGAGTCTGGTCTCAGTTTTGGGACCATAGATCAGCAGGCTCAACGTCATTTGGACTTGGTCTTTTCTCAGTCTTGGGGTAAAATGGGCTTGGCAATTGTCCTCAAGACCAGTTGAATGCAATGCCTCTGTCTAAAGTGAGTTTAAACTGGGGTCAAAACAACAAACTCATAGTCAATACAACAAAAATGTAACTGCAGTGGAATATGATACAACTATGTTCCACCACCATACCACCCCAGTGACAGCATTTGTACCCTGAAAGGTACAAATTTTTCAGAGTGTACAGTAAATCAATAGTTGTTAGCGTAAATAGCTGAGTTAATTACACAAAAGTGTTCACTTTGTCACTTTATGTCTCAGTCTTATCATGACTACACTGTAATGATACTCTGTTAACTGCTTGAGCTTACTATACAGACCATAGCTGCTATATATATATATATATATGTGTTGGAAACTCTACAATAGAACACAGTTTGCCCGTGATGCACAGAGTTCGGAACAAAGTCAGACCACCTGTGGCTCAGGACAGATGAGGAACAGCTTTGTAGTTTGAGTGTCTGCATGCCCCATTAGGTTGTTTATGGATATTAAAAGATTTACTGCATAATTCTGTGATTACTTCAAAGTGTGAAATACAGTCCATCATCAGGCAGCTTTTAAATGCAGTTTTTACCTGAGCTGCTGAGCTAGATCCAGCCATCACTGGTGATTTAAAAGAGCAATCAAGCACCTGTCAAAAGTGATTGATGCTCCGCTTCGGAAGCCTGACAAGTGATTCCTCGCCACCTGGTTCAGACAAATATTCTTCATAAGGAGTTTGTTTGCTCTCCTTTTTCTCCCAGAGAGCATTCTGCTTCCTAATTTTACCTTGAATTGTCCTTCATGCTGTTTTGTCATAACACATGCTTGTCTTGCGACACACAAACAATAGCACAGTCATTAAAGAGTGACATTTCTTTTTTGGGTGTTTTGACTCAAACAGACATTGAAACAATAACTTTGAGTTTGAAGTGAAGGATGTCCTTTAATTTACGAGTCTTTTACATCTGTATCAGGCAAATTATGTAGAAATCATAGCTGTTTTTTATATATACCGGTGAGCATAGCAGTCGCAAACAGCTCAGCAGACCATGGCAGACCATATGAGTGGATGAGCGGCATGCTACTACAGCTGCATGGAGTTGTTCAGGGCCAAAAAAGTGGACTCCTCCTGACTGTCCAAGTCATTCACCCAAGCTGAACCCCAATGAGGATGTATTTCTGGTGGTGGAGACAAGACTGAAGGCAAAAAGTCCCTGAAACATGCAGAAACTGCATTGCAGAACATCACTAGGGAAGGTATCCAGTATCTGCTGATGTCTGTAGGTAGGGAACTTCAGACAGTGATTGATTGCAAAGCGTTTGAAACCAAGTACTAAACATTTAACCTCTCAGTTATTGTTTCATTCCAAGTCCCAGGCGCTGGAATACAGAGTCAGTACAACAAACTGTATTACTTTCCGGTTACTTACAGACTGCACTGTATGGTTTCAGAATAAGAAAAAACAATTGGGTTCTTGAATGCTTCTTATCCAGCAGAAGGATGTATTTTTATTACTTTTCAAAGTGAAATGAAATATTTGCATTTAGATTTTTGTGACTGTGAGAATTACACCATAGTGTGCTCGTGGTTGATGAAGTTTTTAGTTTTGTAAGATATCCAGTGGTGAACTGTGACTATTAGAGCAAGGCCCTTAAAAGAAAACCCACCTCTTCGATAATGCTGAATTCTAGTAGTATGTTAGTGCTAAGCTAATGGCAATTCACATGAACATTTTCTGGCCATTCTACATTAAACATGGACATTTGAAGCTTGTAAAATACATATTTCTGGTTAGACAGTGGCTCATATTCAGACTTTCAGAGGGCCTACAGTGATCAAATTTGTCATAAAGTTGATCCCGTCTATCATAAATCAAAACACAATTGATTGATTCCATTTCAGTTTATAGTTGTGTCAGTGGTTAATCTGACACATTAATTCATCCAAGAGGGAGCTCACTGTTTATACCTAGATACCACAAAAAAATATATATATCTTTTTGGAAAATTGCTGTTTGCTTCTACAATACTTGCAGAGTATTTTAAATACAGCAGGATTGATTATTATGTTCAATAAAAATGGACTACATTTTATTTCACAGAAATCATTAGGCCTATTCTGAAGACCCTAGAAAGCCCTGAGGGTTCCCCACTGAAGATATGTGGGTGTTTTTGCAGCACTAGAATATTCTGAGGTCCTCTGCAGTGTCTTTGATTAGGCATAAATGCAGTAGGAACAGTGCCTGTAGAACTGTACTGCACTTATACCCATGCTCTTTGTTGACAGATGATGATGGGTCATTTTCAGGTATGCTGTCTGTGTCAAGAAGACTTGAGAAAATGCTGGACGTTTCATCTCTTACATCTCTCATATATCTACAGCAAGATCACAGTGTGCTTTTCTTGGACACCAAACTCAAAAAAGACAATAAAAAAACGCACAAAGTCTCCGTTGGAAGGATAATAAACCCTTTTTCCATTAGATTATAAATGGACCATGCTTGGCAGGATATGGAGGAGAAACCTCTGTGAAGTACAAAGGAGGTGCATTTGAATGAAAGAGTGATTAATAATTCACTCTCTTCAGCGGACTTTGGCAATGCCTCGTCAAATAGCATAAATTACAGATCTGAAAAAAATCTGACATCTACTTATTCAAACTTACCAAACTTCTGTAATTATGCAGGGGCCATGACACAGTTGGAGCTGTGGCGCTGGATTCCTTCGGTAATGTCGCCTGTGCAACTTCAACAGGAGGAATCAGGAACAAAATGGTGGGAAGAGTCGGAGATTCTCCAGTTATAGGTGAGTTGCCTTATTGTAGTGCTGAGTGGTATTGATAAAATTCAGTATCATATTTTCCAAATATCATGAATTAACAAAGTTAATGAAACCATGCTTCCTGAATGCTGCTACTCTATGCTGTAAGAATGTTTACAAACCTGACAAACAGTAGCTCATTTTAATTGGACAATACCTCATTTCAACTGGACATTTGCTAAAGGAAACTTACTATTATTTAGCTTTTATGTATTTTGTACTGTTCTTTCAAAACAATCTGTAGCACCCAGCAAATGGCACATCCTACAGTTAACTTTGTTTTTTTGTTATCTATCAATACAATTCAAACTAAAAATCAGTAGTATGGTGGGTAGACCACTACACCTGCCCCTTTAGATAAACAGTACTCAAAGCTTTCATTTTTGAGAGAGAGGAGAGAATGAATACTTTTGCTTCAGATGTAAAAAAACAATGAGAAGACAACATAATGGGTCTCAAAGGACGTGTAGCTATTATGAAATCTTTACTGAGAAAATGAGACAAAAAATGAACAATGGACTGCCCTCCCCAGAGTCTGAATGTACCAAAATAAAATGATGTGTGTTGGAAGCAGAGAAGACAATAAAATGTGCAGAGCAGGGGGTTCTCTGAATGGCCTTCTAGCCATTCTTCTGAATAGCAGTCCTCTTCATGGAAAAGTAATAACAGAACCTGTTACTAGACATGGCCATGCATCGCGTTGTTATTTTTATTAATTAGCACGGCACCTGCTGCATAACGCTGACCTTTCAGTCTGGACTTGTAATATGAGGATAAAACTTTATGAGTCTTACAGTAAAATCCCTTACAAATAACAGAACCCACTCTGGTAAAACTAATCCAGCTCTAACATTTTTTCCTGTGTCTGGAAAATTAGCCATTGGGTTTTAAAATGGTGTAATTTAAAAACTGCAGTGTTTAGCTAAAACTCCGGACTAACTCTTAGCATGAAAAATTGCATTTTCCTCAAAGAGATGAGCACAGTTTTGATCGATACTGGCTTGGCAGAGCGCTTTCTTTTGAGGTACAATAGGTTAAGGCTGGGTATTATTGTGCTGTCTCCTCTGTGTGATAAGGATCAGGTGGATATGCAGACAATAAGACTGGCGCAGTGTCCTGCACTGGTCATGGCGAGTCTATTCTGAAAGTCACCTTAGCCAGGCTCATCCTCTTTCACATGGACCAAGGTACAGTATGAGACACTTCCTTCAGAACTCTATTTTGCTGCTTAGCAAATTGGCAATCACAGATGAAACTGCCTTTGTCGTGCTGTTGATCTGTCATATTGCATGCGAAAGCAAGGTTTATCAAGCCGGCACGTTCATGCACTGGACTGATGGACATGCAGTAAAGATTACACACCGAGGAAGATGAAATGAAACACCTGACATGAGGCAGGAGCTAAATCCACATAGTGGATGTCATGGAACCTGATCTGAGGTGCAGATAGAGGAAGCGATAGATCAGTGTAGATTATTCTCCTCGTGTAACTGGCCGAGATAAATGGCTTTGCTAATTTGCTCGCAGCAATTGTTGTGTTTATCGATGTCAGGGAATTAATAAATTAAAAAGCTGGAGGTAAAAGGGAACAGATCCAAAACATTCCCCCCTTTCATAATTACAGTTTTAATTTTTGGCAGCTGTCAGCAAAGCAGGAGCAGCTGATGAGCACCTTGTTATCTGCACAGTTCTCTAGTGTAATTATTTTGATAAGGAGGCAAATCCATAGAAAATTACAGTTTACTGTTCAAATAGAGAGCATTTTTCTTTGCCAGCAGGCCTGTTAAATTATTTAATGTATTATAATTTACAGCCATAAAGTACAAAACTTTTCATGTAAGTTTTTTTTTACTTTTTGCATTTAAAAACAAGTATAAACTACATTCCATATATGAAGTGTAGTGCAAACAAGACAGATTAAAACTCTAATGATGACTGCACACATAAGCTCACATATGCACACATCTGCACTTTATATTACACATCCTTGTGTTTTAGTATATCCCTATATTTTTATATTTTATATTTTTCTTCCTGTTTTTCTGTTCTTATATCGTTCTAATATATATTCTGTTTTTCATGACAATAGATAGTCATATAAGCATTTCACGACACATTATACTGTGTATGGCTGTGTACTCAGTATGGGGTTGTTAATGAGCTGATTAGTTGGATCAGGTGTGATGGAAGCAGAGAAACCACTAAAATGTGCAGAGTTGGGGATTCTTCAGTTGTATAGATGATAAATCGACCATGGCTTAATCCCAATTTGAGCTAGACCAGTTTAATCTGCAGATGTTCTGTAATTGCTGTCATTACTGACAAGAGGAGTGATTTAAATCCAGTATGAATCTGCAGTGTCTGTAGTTTTCAGTCTGACAGTAATACTTCTAAAGTGAATGGCCTTCTGTAATTGGCTAAACATGGAGTTCCCACAGTAGTGTTGAAATAGAGAGCATTATTCTTGTTTAATTATTTAATGTATTATAATTTACAGCCATAAAGTACAAACCTCTTCATGTATCTAAGTTTTTTTACTTTTTTGCATGTGTATTGTAGTGCAAATAAGACAGGTTAAAGATCTAATGATGGATCACTGTACACATGCACACATCTGCACTTTATATTAGACATCCTTGTATTTTATTATATCCCTATATTTTTATATTTAATATTTTTCTTCCCTTTTTTCTATTCTTATATTGTTCCACTGTATAATCTGTTTTTCATGGCAACAGACAGTTGTATAAGCATTTTACTACACATTATACTGGGTATGGCTGTGTGTGTGACCAAGAAAGCTTGATTTGGTTTGATTTGATTTGACTTAATTTTACATAGCCAGTTCACAACTACAATAGTGTTCAGTAGTTTGGAATCAATGTTTTCAAAAAATTAATACCAATTTGGTTGCAGACAAATGTATAAAATGATTCTAATATGCTAGTCACTGTGCAACTTGACAGCGTTCACATAATGAGTAGGACACTAGGAACCGGTAATAAAAATAAAGAAGTGTAATGAATAATGAATGGAGCCACAGAAGATTCTAAAATGACCGAGGACGATATATATAATTGAGAATTAAAGGGGAATTGCGACAATTTTTCTAAATGTCTGCATAATCTAGTCATTGAGATGTAAAATCAGCCAGAGTGGTTTGATGTGAAATGGTTCATTGTAGGCTAAATAAACTAACTTATTTATACAGTGGTGGTGATAGCAACAGGGGTCATGATGTTTAAAACGTAAATATAGCAATTTTATTTATTATCCAAGAACAACCAGTGAACCTGCACATGTCTTCTGAGTTCTTCTATTGCTGCTTGTATCTCAGTTTTGTACTTTTTTACAGAATTAGAAAATACCAGCTGAGCTTTACAATGTGCCAGAATTTCCTGATGAGAAATGCTCCAAAAGTATTCTATTCTAGTTCCAATCTAGTTCCATTAACTTTCATTCAAAACTAAGAATGTTTTTCCTTCTCCTGTAAGGTTAACTTTTTAAAGATACGAGGTTTTCTTCCGACAGCAGTGATATATAATGTGGATTATGATAAAATAGTGATAAATCTGGGGGAAAAAAAAGTGACCTATTTTGCCTCACAGCAGCCTGCATGCACCTCTCCTCCATGAATGTACTTTAAAAAATATGGCAAAACCTTATCTCAATAGTGACAAATAGTATTTGTTACTATTTTGTGTAATACCTTGCTATGAGGTCTTTTAGAGGCATTAGATGCTTCAGACGTTTAGTTCCTATCACCACCACTGTAAGCAATTCGGACTCTGCAAGCTTCTCTACACTGGCGCCTTTCCCATCAAAACATTTTTAAAACACGCAAGTTTACATCCTAACAACATAACTGTTTGGAAATTTTTGTTTTAATGAAATAAATATGCAGAATTAATCATATTTCAAAAATGGAGATCAAATCTCAGGGCAGATAACTGCCCTAGATTATAATGATGTAAACAGATAATATGGTTTAGTTTATTTCCTTCACTTCTGGATCTCAGAATTCTGAAATACACTTTTTGGTAAATAATATGTAACATTTAAAAACATCAAACAACACCAAAGTTTTGAACAGTAGTGTACATGAGACATAATAACATTAAAGGTGGGTAATGTGCTGATATTTATGATTAATGTGATAAATTATGTCACAGCATGCTTTTAAGGAAGTCATGGATATTGTCAGTTCTTAAAAAAGAGCTGCATGTTTCAGCACAAAGATCAGCAACAGTTAAACATTAGTCCTGTTTAATTGGATCTAATGCAGCTCAGTGTGTGACACATTGAATAAAAATCATTGTACTCAGTTTTTGACCATTTTAAAAACACTGCTGTTTTTTGGAGGCTGTCTAAACGTATCAACCTGCAAAAAAATGAAATATTGTGATACATATTTTGTATTGACAAAATGTGTCGGGGTTTTCCAAATTGCATGCCTCAAGTAAACATTTACAAATCGAGCACAAGCTGTTATCCATATTATGCACCCCATATGATAGCAGTTCACAATCCATCCAGAGGAATGAAGCGGACTTGATGGCCGCTGCTCTTGCCTGCTGGGCATTATTGTTATTGTGGGTTTTCTCTGCTTGCCTTTCGCTGCCATGTTCTATACATTGTGCATGCGGCGGGTTGTGAAATCTCTGTGATAATATTCTATTTTTGTCCCCCTCTTCCACATCCTATCATCAGATTTTGCTTGACCGTGCTGTATTAACATAAGTGGCGTGGAGATCTGACACTGCTGTTGCCAATCATTTTAATTGGTGTGTTTGAGGGGAGGGGACGGGCCAGGCTGCCGCTGTTGGCAGAGGATAATGAGGCAGAGTGTGTAGAAGGGTCAGCGGGCTATTGTTTGCTTGCAACTTCTGTGGTAATGACTGCGGAAGCGCCGTTTCACTTTTTTTGCCATGTCTGTTCGCTGTTATCCTTTTAAACACCAGCCTCCCCACAGCAACACAGCTATTCTGCCTCACTGTAAGCAGCAGCAAGTCTTTGGTTTAAGAGAAACTGCCCCTTTTTGATTAAAACATGCATCCTCTGCTTTCTCACCATGCACAGCAGTGTCAACCCCCGTTAGATTTTTTTCAAGCAGAAGAAACCTTAAGACAGAGGGTCTACCATTTATCTTTTTTTCTGACAGTCCTTTGCTCTGCAGCAGCAGCACTGAATGAATGCACACAGCAGCTGTGTGAGCAGCCTGCCTTATCCTGTTCCCCGAGTGACCTATGCTGCGCCCAAGGACTGTAGCAGGCCGCGCTGCTTTATCACACAGCACGAGGAAATAGAAATCCTCACACTCTATTTCTGTTGCACAGCCTTCCGCAGGGAACTGACACAGTAAAAATAACAAAAAGTCTAAGTTTCAGGCCTTTGAAATTTGAATTTCTACAAAAGCGGAGCGAGTGAGAAGAAAAATAATGTAGCAGTTTTGGCTCGCAATGCCGTAGAGGCTCCAGAGGTGTGGTCATGCAGAGGATCATGCAAAGAGACTCATGGGAGGCACGCACCATATGTTTTATTGTGTCTGGGGTTTGGCCATTTTGTGTTGGGGTAGTAGCCTGTGGCTAATGGTGACCTCCCACATTGTTTCAGTGCAGTGTTATGTGCCTTTCTGCTGGTGTTTCAATAAGAGCACTACTCACAGCAGAATCACAGCCCACTGCCATGTTTCCATCTACACTGACGCCACAATAATCTGCTCTAGCAGTGCTCTACAGTTCATTTTGTTCAACATGACCATCTGAATTGGTGTGTTCAGAATGGTCCCAATACAATATTTCGTTTCCAGTTTGTCTGAAGTTGTTCTGTCCTCTGCCATTAAATGCATGGATACCTGATCATTTCCATTTTTTTAATTATTCCCATAATTGTGCACTACAGTTAGTTTTGTCTCTTATGATAATCAACTGAGCTGGTTTGTGCAGAATATTCATAATAGAATATTACATAATCTCTGTTGAGTCTTGTTGACATTAACAGCTTACCATTGGCTCTGCCAATAAGTGGACTTGCACTGTGAAAAATGATTCTGTAAATTTACAGTGATTTACTAGCAGCAGAGTTGCCAGGTGTTTACTGTAATTAATAGTTACAGCACTCATACTCTGTTTGTTTATAGTATTGACATATTGTACATATTGTATAAAATTTGTGAACAGTGGAATGTACTATTTCATTTCAGTTTGTCAGTACAAACAGCTATTCTTCCAAAAGCTAACAGGCTAACAGACTCCTCTAATACTCACAGTTAGGCTGTTAGGTGTTTTTACAGTTAGGTTTAAGTATGTACTATTCACTGAAAAACCATATACAAAGTAAAAATATCTTAAATGCTTGCCTTGCGTGTTTAAGCTAGAGCTGTAGAGTAACTCAGTGTGGGAAAGACTGAAACCCATAGCTAGCTGAAATTAGTGTGATAGCAGTCACAGATACTTACAACAGAGGATAATGACAAATGAAAGTTTGTACATTAAATCTGTGATATAATGACATATTTGACAAAAATACAAGGTTCACAAACTCACTTGAATATCTTATGCTTCGTTTCATGTCGGCTAGGTAAGCTAGCATGCTAATAGCTAGCTAGGCAAATAGTAACTACCTTTACCACTAGTTAAGTAAAAACTTGTTACATTTACTCTGGTTCACAGAAATGAATGCAGGTCAGCTAGCTCCCTTTAATTCATTGATTCTGAGAGATGTTTTCCTGTGGCAGGACGGACAGCTTCGGAAGCAGCTAATTCCTCTCTGCAGTACATGGGTGAGCGTGTGCAGGGTTGTGGGGGGGCTATAGTCGTGTCCCCCACGGGAGACTGGACCGCCACATTCACCACAGAGCGCATGGCCTGGGCAGCTGTCGATGAGAACGTTCTCTACTATGGTTTGAATCCTAAAGAAGAATTAAAAGAATCATTGAAATAACACATTTATCATAGTTTTATATTTTTACTTTAACAATACTAATTTGTTTTTTTTTTTTTTCAAGAATCATAATTCACAGTTTTTAGAAAGTTGCTGTGCATTATTAATCTTTCACACGTTTACATCAACTGTATTTAGTTATTTTGATTGAGGCTTTCTGTAGTTAGCTTAATCCAAGCTATAAATCCATCATCTTCATTCTAAATCATGTTTATTCTTAATACTCTAAATTCTGTGGTGACTGTGATGTCTATGAAATGCTTACAATAACAAAGTTCACAGAGAAAAATGCTTTAGAATTGTTAATAAAACACAACATAATTTACTGCTCTATGTATCTTTTAATACTACCCTACTAAATGGGGGGCCTTGTTATTTGAACACAAAAAGAAAAGAGGTTTATTATCCTGGACAGTATCCTGTAGTCTTGGTTAAGAATTACAATGATGTTCAGAAGAGACTTTCGGAATAAACATTCAACTCCACAGGTAGAAACACAGCTAACAACATCACAGCACAGACTGAGCGGGTGCTGTTTCAGGACAGATTTGTTACAGGACTGAATCAGATTTTTGTTCCTGTCATATCCAATCCAACATTTTGTAAATGGATCATTCTACTGAACTGGTTCGAAGTCATAGTTGAAAACACATTTTGGACCTTCAACTGACTTGAACTTTAGACTAAAGTCCTTTTTCTGAGTGACCTTATACCTTTATTATGTTTATTAAAATAATAAAATAAATGATTGAATGTTCCACTTAGTCACTACCAAAATAATCATAATACTTACGAAACTTTACCAAATGTTTCTACAATGACTGTTTTGGCGGTGACAGTTTTAGCTAATTTTGAGTACAACTCAAAAACGTTAGCGAGTTCATGACTAGCAAACATAGCTTTTAACAGTTGTACACACATTCATAATATTTTATTAAAAGACAAAATGTTTACATAATCGCGGAAAATGTTTTGGTAATGACAATTCTTAATGTTTCACACTGATTTTCAGACTTTGGGACACATTTACTTCAGAACAATGAGATGTAAGTGCTCATCATGTGGCCATGAAGGACAGGGATGCAGTCTCACTTCCTGCTCTAAAAAAAGGGGTGTGGCTAAAATAAGGCTGGAGTATGGAGTAAAACTCTGTGTCTCGGTAGTGACATGAAACTGTGGGACAGCCTTTTTTTTTAAGTTTTTAAAACAACACTAAAAAAATACATTTGAATATTGTAAGGAAAATATTGTTTTCACAAGTTGAAATGTAGGGTTTAGGGTTCCTCCCAATAGAAAGTACCCTGTAAATTATGATTTTGTGTATATTTACTTTATTACTGTCAAAATTAAGGCATTGGGTTTTAATAGATCATAACATAATTCTTGTAAATATCTAAGGTCTGAATACTTAATTTTTTAAATAGTTTTTTACTCTGGAACCACAGTTACGAATTCAGTTGAATGGTCCATATATACTTAATAAACAGTTTTATGCAAAAGTTCCACACTCCTGGTCAGATTACATGTTTTGTTGATTTTCTAAGTGAAAATAAGTTAACATCCTTTACAGGGAACAAACTTAAATGTGGCATTTTTCTAAAGGCACAGTTTCTAGTGATTTGCTGAATTTAACATATTAGAAAAAACAAAACATGTTAAATGTGCCATAACTTTTAATACAGGCCATGTTCTGTGCTTCTTTTCTTAATATGTCAAATTCAGCAAATAAACATCTTTAAAATGTGCAGAAGTGTGTTCTCTGTAGAGGATGTGTTCACTTATTTTGACTTAGAAAATCAACAAAACATGTAATTTGACCAGGAGTGTTCGAACTTTTTCATATGACTGCAGGTCGATCCGAGACCAATACCTGGTACTGGGTTGGTGTTGTTGCTAGTTCAGTGGAATATTTTTTGTCCCATGTTTATTAAACATATAACTGCTGTTGAACGCATCAGTAATAAGAATATATGATTGTGGATGCATCAGTGAAAACCTAAAAACCCTGAAGGGATCATAATTAAAGATGTCATTAAAAAGCTTCAGTTGCTCACTGCGAGAAATCTTTCCGAACCTTATGAAACTTCCTTCTGCCTTAGTGAAAAAGTTGTGTTGCTTTACTGTAATAACGTTTGTTGAAGGCACAGACGGCACAGAGCAGCACAGCAGCATCACTCGTCCAGTAAAGGGGACGTTCACTGTAGCGTCACAGAGCCAGCAAACTTTTTTTTTTTACAAGTAAAGCAGTGAATGTGTTATGGCTGCTAGGATTGTGAAACAGGACTTTGAAATGATTTTCTGTGATGTTTCGCTCTTATGACTTGTTTCGAAAACAGCTAAGAAACAAAGACTAACTGATAAACTATTCCAACCAGGGGAACTGGAGGATGAATAATTATAATACCCTCTTTCCAGAAGGGCTGGTTTTGCATCACCCAAAAATGCTATAAAAATGTAGGAAACCATTCTGACTCCCTGGTGGCCCGTCTCTCATCTTCTGCTTTCCCCAGAAACTGAGGCAGAACTGTAAACCCGTACATGCTGATGTTTTACACAATGTGGTGCACAGAATGAATGCTTCAAATGTTTATGTCCTGAACATTGGCATAGTTGGTCAGTATAAAATCACAATCATATCATAAAGGATAGACGATGGCGTATCTCTCGTCACGGAATGCTTGTTCAGAGTCACAGTAGGCAGAGGTCCGAGGACAGGCAGGCAGGTACACAGCAGGGTTATTATACGCACTTAAAAAGAAGGCTCTTCAAGGGTTCTTTAATAAAGAAAAGGGTCTATGTGGTACCGAAAAGGGTTCTTCCACTGTTACAAGCTTCATAACAATAGCAGAACCCTTTTTGGTGCTACATAGAACCTTATACATCACATTCTCCATCAGTCTGAAGAACCATTTCATCATGCAAAGAACTATTTAAGCATGCAAATGGTTCTTTGAGTGTTCATGGTTCTATATAGAATCTATATAGATCTTTTTTTTTTAAGAGTGTAGTTAACTAAAACTATTACTAAAATGAATGTGCTCATTAATTCTCATAACAGTAAAAACATCTAATAAAATATTAAATAATATTATTATAAATAATAAAAAAGTATTTTTTTTGTTTTTGCAGTACATGAATATGAGATCCCTTCTGCGTTTGTCATTAAGAAATGCAAAAGCTGAGCTGAGCGCAGTCTACCGTTGTGTTTATTTTCTTCTACTCTTATTAAATATCTACTGTCACAGCATGCAATAACAAAATAATAAAAACTAAAACTTAAACAAAATAAAACTAAAACTACAGCTTTTCACAAAATACCAAAACTAAAGCTATTCATGCACCTTCGGACTTACTGAAAGCAAAAACCAAAAGGAAAGAGTCAATAAAATGAAAAACTAATGAAAATTTTAACACTTTGCAAAAAGTAAGAAGCCAAACTCTGCAAGTGTCTGTAGGTGTGTGTAATGGTGGAGGGGTGGAGCCAGGGAGGAGCAGGAGCCTTTCTAGACTCCAAATAGAGTTCCCCCTTGGGAGGGGGAGAATCCATTGCTATTCTTAATCAGGATTACATCTTGTTTTATTATATAATTGTACATTTTGTTCATTTTCAAAACTGAAAATAAGTTAACTAATTCTCTGCAGTAAACATTTAAAAATGCTATTTTTCTGTAAATGTAGTGTACAATTGCTATATAACTGCTGAATTTAACATTGAAAAAAAATAAAACATAACATATTAAATGTGCCATAACCTTTATACCGGCCATATTTTATGTTTTATTTTTCCCCAGTATGTTCAATTCAGCAAATAAACAGTAAATGTGCATTAAAATACACAGAAGTGTGTTCTCATTGACAGATGTGTACTTAGCAACAAAACATGTCATTTGACCAGGGGTGCCTAAACTTATGCCTTTGACTGAATATCGACCAGCTTTTATTTTTAACAACTACTCCCAGAATACCAAATTCCCATGCTTTTTTGTGAAAAGTTGTTTCTGTTCAAACACCTGATTTTAAGTGTGATACATTTTGTACAACGATGAACAATTTTTTGTGTTTAATCAGTTGTTTGTTCAGTGGGGGGAAAAAAAAAATCAATCAAATGTTGGTTAAGATGCTGCAGCTAATTCAGATCAGCGCTGTGATCAAAGCTCGGTGTTCCACCATCACGCCTGCATAAACAATATGCAGCAAGCGACTAAAGGGTACGATCTTGAGTCAAAGGGAGTAAATAGCATGCAAAATTAATCGCTCTGTGGCGGAAGAAAATAAACAATTCTAACATTAGAATAAACACATGAACTAGGTCATGAGCTTGCTTTCCCTCTAGGGATACGATGGTTAGCAAACTGGCGAACTGATATGTGATGAGGCCCTAAAAGCTCTTTTAGGCTGTTACACAGTCCACAGCTTTGGATGGAAAGGCCTTCTAAGTGGAAGGCCTGTCATGAATATCAAGGATGTGAGTTAATGATGCTCACCTATCATGTTCCGTGTCCTTCTGTCTCTCTGTCAGTGCGGTTCCTCTACTTTCTTCTTATTTTGCATACACTGACATGAGTTTTGACTCTCTCTTCATGACGCATTTATATTTTTTTAGCTTTCTGTCACCTGCAATTCAGTCATCAAGTATTTGGCCTCTTGTAATTATTCTTTTCCACATACATAATAGAAGTAGTATGTAGTAGTTTCTAATTTAATTTTAAGTACAATGGTATGCATGTATAGTTTGAACACCCATGGTCAAATTACACACTTTGTTGCTTTTCTAAGTGAAAATAAGGGAACTTAAATATGGCTTTTTTGCTAATTTTATTAATTTCTATGAATTTGCCGAGTTGAACATATTGGAAAAAATAAAACATAATACAAAATGTGCCATAACTTTTTCACAGACCATGTTTTATGTTTTATATGTTTCCTAATATGTTAAGCAAATAAATAGTAACTGTGTATTAAAATGTGCAGATGTATGTTCCCTGTACTTACTTTCACTTGAAAAAATCAACAAAACTTAATTTGACCAAGGGCGCACAAACTTTTGCATTTGACTGTATACGGGAATGAGTACATCATCGCTGTTGAGACAAAACCTCCTTTATTTTTGGCATTTTTTAATTTTATTGTCATAATTTTGTAATAGCCACTGCCTTTTATATTGTGTCTCTTCCATTAAAAGTTTAGAGTTTTTTCCTTCTGCAAAGTTACAGCTTAACTTAGTTAACCTTAACTAAGTTTTATTCCAACAGCAAAAATATGTTCATGTGTTTAACAACTTGAATAAAGCACTAGAAGCTGTACAGGTTGTAAAGGCTGGGTGTGTAAGGGGTTGATAATCTTACTCCACACAGAACCTCTCACACATGCACATCATGAATATTTGGCAAACATCTCATTCCAAAATCATAAGCATTCAAATCAAAATCATTAGGCATAAACTACAGTACAAACATATTCACCTTTTTCTTTATTGAAGGCTTTCTGTGTAAAATGATGTGCTTTTTTGTTATCACCTCCTCTTGTTGCACTCCGCAGTTCTTTTTCCACACAAACCGCATGGTGAGGACTGAAGCTCTCAGTCTCTCTATGGTTCAGCATTTATATACGTCTAGAAAAAAAACTGAAACAGTTGCAGTTTCTTTTTCATAAATAAAACCAGTTTAGATGCTAGCACTTTATATAAAATGATAAAATATAACTTGCAACCACTGCAATCTGCATTGTATAGAATGGGAGACAATGAATGCATTTCCAGTGGACGCTACCATTTCCACAACTTTTTTACATTGGAAGTTGATCTTTTATTGTTATAACTATTTTCATGCTTTTCTGTATTCTCAAAACATTTAGGCACATGGATTTTTTGGCACGCCTGCATGATGAATGTGGTAGTGACCTATTGCAGAGTACTGGTTTACTCCCATTGCGAATTGCACTGCAGACTGCAGTTCCACTGTTGCATGCTGTTGCCATATGGCAACAAAATGCAAAGTACCTAAAAAAAAATGTCTTTTTTTTACGATTTCTATTAATTATGCCACTTTCACTAAGAAAAATCATAGCCTTTCTCATGTATACATGGCTGTAGGGATTTGCTTCCATTCAGCCACAACAGCATTAGTGAGGTTGGGCACTTACGTTGGGTGATGTGGCATTCCAATTTAGTGCTTTACATCACTCATGCCGGCGCTTGGCATTACGTGTGATGGCCTTGGGCTTATGTGCAGCTGCTCAGCATGGAAGCCCAATCCATGAAGCTCCTGACAAACAGTTCTTGTGCTGATGTCCAGAAGCAGTTTGGAACACAGCAGTTAGTGTTGTAGCCATGGACAGACTGTTTTTACGTGGTTCACAACTGAGCTGGATGTTTCCACTTCACAATAAAATCACTTACAGTTGACTGCGTCAGCTCTAGCAGGGCAGAAATTTGACAAACTGACTTGTTAGAAGGCATCCTATGATGGTGCCATGTTCAAATTCTACTGCCAGTGGTTGTTCATGGAGACTGCATGGCTGTTTGCTTCATTTTATGAACCTGTTCGCAGTGCATAGGCATTCAAATGAACATCATTAAGCATGAACTACAATACAAAAACAATCACTTTTTTCAAAGGTCAGAAGTGTTTCTACAGTTATTGCTGTGGCTGAAGTAGCCAAACCCACTGATTAGAATCCACAGTCCACATTCTTTTGGCCATAGAGTGTGTATGTAATTTGTCACAGTTCAGTTGAGGGTTTGTAATTTCCAATTCTTTTGTGCTTTATGATGTGGTATGTGGTATTAAATAGAAGTCTAGAGAGTCAGCGGCTCATTTGTGCCGTCATTAGAGTCCTCTTTAACTATTAAGCCATGCTTTCGACCTCTCAGCAGTGTATTAAATATCCCAACTTGAGCCTGTATTCCATTAGAAATTGCCCTTTTAGGATAATGAGGGACATCTATTTAATTATATTAGCTTTTCTCATGAAAGACTCGCTTGCTCTTTTGGGCATGAAATGTAGAATGCTGTTCTCATCTGTGACTGTCTGCACTTAGGGACACTATTTTCTGATCTGTGCTGCCCTCGTGTGGACATATAGTGATACTGCAGTGGTTAAAGCAGGCTATTTATTAATGCTGTAATGGTGAGACTGCACCAAGATGTTGGAGACTGCATGCTTGAACCATCAGCTGCATGAATCATGGAGTGACTTAATGTGTTCCATAGGTGATTCAGATAATGGAAATTGTTCTGGTGTAAAAAGAACAACACTCGCTCCTCATCCCATGATTGAAAACTGAATAGCAAAATAGTCCGTTTTAATTTCCTTGTTTTTGTGATGCCAAGTAAACCAGCTCATTTGCATATATCCACCTATTCAGCCTACAGCAGTTTAGCCCCACCCACTCACTGAAGTTATAAGAAGTGTTTCAGCCTGGACTGATTTTTGAGTGAGGCACAACACAGGGCAGCCAATCACAACAGAGGTCATTTACATATATCAGTAAAGGGATAGTAATAAAAACAGCCTGTTTAATTCTAAGGGATAAAGAGAGGTTGGAAAAAGGTCATGTAAATGACTGTTTTTGTTACATAACTCAAGAATGTCATAAGTGGAGGCAAAAAATGAACAGGAAAAAAAAAAACTACAAATAAGCTTTTAAGGTAAGCCATAATACAGGCCCAAAAAACACAATTTGAATTTCTTAAAGTCCAATTCAGAAACTGCTGAAACAGCAGCACCATAGCCCAAGGAGTGCCTTTGGAGAGGGTCTGGTAAACTTAAACACTCTTGGATGTTTATTTATTTGAATGCCTACAGTGCTAAAATTTGTCTGTTATGTTTATTCATTCAGCAGAAGCTCTTATCTAGAGAGGCTTACAAAAATGAGTGTTTACCTTCATAATAAGAGCACGGCAATGAAGATGCTCCTTTTTAGTCTTGCGGCTGCTGCACATAACGATTTTACAGCACCAAGATAACGTGCACTTGGTTTCCTTTAAAGCTGAAGGGTGGTTGTACGGCATCCGCCTCAAATTTATATAGAATATAAAGCTTTGGATCCAATTACTACCCGATTCTAAAGTTCCATGTTGGCAAACAATCTGATAAAAGCGCACTCGTAGTGAGGACACATTATGTGAGAGTGCTTGAATGAGAAACATGAGAAATATTGTGTGTGGCAGCTGGAACAACTCATGAAACATCTGTGTGTGGTTTTACACTGAGGTTCAAAATTAAAGACAGCCAACATTAATGTCTGAATGTCTGATTGACAAAGTGCCTCTGGGAAAAGTCAGACCAAGAGTGAGTCCAAAGCTGTAATATAGTTTATTAAATATTGCATAATAATGAAATCACAGCAGTAAATAGTGTTTTAAATCCAATATTGTACTGTAACAGCACTGCAAAAAAAAAAAAACAAAAACAACAACAACTGCAAGGTGGGCCTCTGCATGTGGAAGATCACATCATCATCGTCATTATGCACTACAGGCATTATGTCACACGCTTTATTAATAAACTGTGGCGTTCGCAGTCAGGATCTCGGTAATTGTTTTCCATGACACGCGTGTGCTGAAACAATCATCATATCCTTCAAAGGAACATTGATTTACTTAAGAACGAATCAAGGCAAAATAAAAATGAGGCACAAATAAATGAAGCCATGAGACAAAAGGCATCTCAGTCCTAGCACAGTGTCAGATATTCTCACTCGTTCATTCTGGTTACAGCACCTGTGCCAAGCAACTCTGTGCTTTCTCAAAAGTCTTCATGTGGTATAAACTGCTATGTTCATAGAGGCTGTTGTAACTTCAAACACTGTCATTCATTCATTCAATATACATATTTACAATTATGAAAGGAGAAAACTAATTCGCTTCTTTGCTCATATCCAAAGCACAGGTTTCTCAAGACACTATATTCTTATGCTTATGCTGTATATAGCATGACATTTTGTGGAGCCAAACAGAATAAAGCCATGGCAAATTTCTGATATGTAGGGTAACAACTTAAATATTGACGTAGGTCAGATTGTGGTCTTAGGTTGTTGAAACCTTTGGTGATGATAGCAAATACATTCCAAACAAGGGCAAACACCGACCGGCCACTTCATTAAGTACGCTGCCTTGTATCTACACTCAGTGTCCATTTTATTAGCTCCATTTACCATATAGATGCAGTTCTTTGTAGTTCTACAATTACAGACTGTAGTCCATCTGTTTGTCTGCATACTTTGTTAGCCCCCTTTTACCTGTTCTTTAATGGACAGGACCACCATAGAGCAAGTGTAATTTGGATGGTGGGTCATTCTCAGCACTGCAGTGACACTGATGTGGTGGTTAGGTTAGGTATAAAATGGACGAAAAGTGCAAAAACAAGGAGATATACTTAATGAAGTGGTCAGTGACTGTATCTTCAGTCCTACTGCATGTAACTGATGAATGGGTTTTCTTACGCGTTTGTATCAGACAGAAGGCTCACACACAGATTGACATCCCTCTGATGAGACACTCCTCACATGCTCACCAGCGACACACTCTGGCATGGCTGCACAATACTACAGAGAGCAGAAGCATTCAACCTTCCTTAAGCTCAAACTCTCCATGGCTGTCAGAGAACACCAGAAACCCATGCATGATATGTCTTTACCACAGTTCTACACAGTAATTGATTAGTTTATCTTCATTTCTATTGAAACCACACCAGAAACGCAGCTATAGCAGAGAAAACTAATCTTGCGTGAAAATTATAAATAGTTTGTTGAGCATCCTGCATCCAGATTTGGAGCATTTGTAGCTTACTCGTATAAATGGCACTTCAAGATTGGAACTGGAAGGAGGTACGGCATTTCATTACCCATCACACATTCCCAACACAGCCGTGTATCACACATTCACTGTCTGATGTACCATCAGGCATGCCACTGTCTGATGTAGCTGGCAATGATAGTATAAACTTTTGTTAATGCATGCTATCCTTCATTCTCACAACATTCTCTAAAGAAAAAAAAAGTCTAATATCTCACACAGGTCTACAGTGCAGCAGTATTTTAGGGCAATCCATAGGGCCACTTTCAAAGTAACTTAACCTCCATATTTCCAGGACATAAATATTACAATATTTTAAAGTCATATTTTAAATTTTTTCAAATCTGAACTATTAATTTTTTCTAGAAGTTTGGTTTGGATACTCCAGCAGCACTGTATCTGCCTCACGTCTGGCCCTAAAACGCTGTCACAGTGTACGAGCCAATGGAATAAACAGTATTTGGTTGCTATACTTACATTTCCTAACTGCAAGTATAATATGCAACGTTAGTCACACTACTAAGTGCTAAGTGTTTCAAATTTATCAGCCGATGGACACCAAAATAAAGCATAGTCTTCCCTTAATTATCAACAGAAAACTTACATCATTTTTTATATATAGTAACAGATGTGCTTCAAAATACTGCAGTCATGATTATCAAAATGCGAGACGCCATAAGAGATAATAACATACCTCCATTACTCTGTTTATATGGAAAGAAAGCCAGTCAGGACGGTTTCAGAGCAAATCAGGATGTTTTCAGTGCAGAATTTTTGTGCTGGTCCATTCAGTTTATATTTCAATGAAAAAGCACTATCATCAAAAATATGAAGTTCTGAGATATGGAGATAAGGGGGTTTGTAACAGATTCCATTTGTTATTCAGTCAAGCTGACAGAATCAGTTCTAAAAACATCCTGAGGGGTTGCACGACTACTAATTTTTACTAGGCAACCGTAACCCTGAAGACACACCATTTTGTGTCACTGTATTCCTACATATCACTGTTGTCAGAAGAAAACCTCGTATCTCCATTTTTGACATTTTTCAGTTTTTGACATTTTTTGAAAATACCTGTTGCTCTTTACATTGTGTGTAAATTTCATGATGAATGGACCAAAAGAAATGACCCAAAATGACTTGGACAAAAGTCTGGTTCCACTGACTTACATTAAAAGTGAAGTATGTTTTTTCCTTTTCCTGTAAAGTTACCATGTTGGAGATGCAAGGTTTTCTTCCGACAACAGCGATATGGTTGAAAAGACAAATAAAGAGGTCATTGGGCACTGTCCTTTGATTAGTTGCCAACAGCGTTGAGTAGTGGACATGAGTGCAGTGGTTCTGAAACCGGTCCTCTGGGAGCCCATGTTCTTGCTCTATCTCTGTGTTGCAAGTTAAATTGCAGCAAAAATCTGGACAGTCTGGGGGTCCCTGAGGACTGTTATGAGAACCACTGATGTAGTGAACCGACTAGTCAAATAGTCTATGCAACCCCTACCTGATGTAGTTCTCTAAACACTAAAACATTAGTGTCTGTTTCAGTGCATTTGAAGGCCATGTCTGTACAGAAGCTGTAACCACACAAACATTTCAAAATTTGCCCCATAATTTTATATTGCTGTCAAAGGCAGTGTGTATACAGGAAGTCCAAATTGATTTTCAATACTGAAGTATTTCTTAGACCCGCATGGGGCTTTGCTGACCTTTGTCCGGTCCGTTAACCTTCAATGGTGCCAAACTCCTTTAACTGCCTTCAGTCACCCTCCAACAACTTACAACACACTGCAAGGCCCTTATACATTCAAAGTAGAGTAATTGGGAGTCTTCCATGTGTTTTTAGTCTGTTTTGTGTACTTCAGAGTTACTAGTCTCTAGTGTGTTAATGTCAGGTATGTGATGCAGTAAAAACATGCGCCATGGCATTAAATTCAGCGATGCAAATGTAAAATTAAATAACTTTTTTTTTTTTTAAATAAGTTTTAAATATATTGTAAAGTATTAAGGACTGTTAAAGGAGCCTTTCACTTAAAAAATACAACAGCAAGAATTAAAAGAAAAAATTGAAAGACTGAAAAGATTATCTGCCATTGCAGTAAAGTTGTCCTCGCCGACATGCTGCAAACCTTACTGATCACATACCTGGACATTCACCTGGGCAAAATACAATACTGAAGGGGGGAAAAAAAATCAACACTTGAGCTCATCGGTAATGGTGTCCAATCGAGGCTGTTAGAATCTCTACATACAGACCACTCGCTATCACATGTTACAAATGAACGGCTTTCACGTAGTTCCCTGGGAAAGTGCCAAACTGTTTAGTCCTCTTGGATGTACCTGCAGAGACAAACACACATACACATGTAGAAGAGTAATGAGTCTGAGTCACGGAAGGATGATAGGGCAATGTGTTGCTGGGCTGTGGTTGCTGTGCTAAGGGCTCTGCAGACAGACTGATTTAGTAGCACTGTAACTCTATATGGCCCAGTCTGTATGGCATCCAGCTCTGTGACTAATGACATACCGACAAACCAGCCGTCATCGCATTTCTCCATGACGTTCACAAGGTCTCCCTCCTGCAGCTCCAGCTCATCGTCATTCTGTGGCACGTAGCTGTACAGGGCCTGGAATCTGCATGGCCACACAACACGTCACACACAAGGGGCACAAGTGTGTTTGAAAGTTATTATAAATCCTGTATTTGGTTAAGCAAACATGCAAGCAGCTTCTTTCGGACACTGTTTCAAGTTTGCACTCTTATTCTAACTATCTGAGACAGTATAAATGTAAAAATGTACAAAATCAAGTTTTACATGCACTTTACACAATATTCAGAAAAACTCTGTTGGTCTATAAAGACTTAAGAAAATAAGATCAGCAAAAACAAGACTGATAGTTTTGTCTGCTGACTGGAGTGAGCGCTTCATCAGAAGCCATGATACATAGTTGGAACAGAGCTAGTACACATAGTTGGACAGTGAAAAGTTTGGATAGTAAGTTATTCCCATGGTGAGACCAGTCCACCTAAAAGTCTTCACTGCTGAACAGTTACATAAGGCTATGGAAGCCTGTGTTTTGAGTATCTTTTTCTAGACGAGCTTTTATTGTTAACGGGTTAGTTTTGAGATGAATAAGATGAATCCACTGCCTGCCATTTAGCATCAGTGGCTTTTAATATCACTTACTGTCCTTGTTTTTAGTCTGTGTTAACCCTTAGAAGTCAAATCACAATGGTGGTTTTACTATACATTAGTATACCAATGTATAAGTGTAAATACTATACAGCTTACATCAGTATTTATATGTAATTACCCTACACTCTACCAATAAGAGTCTAAGCTTATCATCCACCTTCTTCATCCATCACTTTCACCATCGTCCATCACTGCTCCTTTCAATAAGCTACAAAATTAAACCAAATGTAAAACAAGGTATTCCATGCCGTGGTAGACCTAAGGGGGCTTTAAAGTGTGACAGTGCTACAGGGCTATCGGCATATGCTACTTTTCAAAAGTTTGAAATTAGTGTTTTAAATTAATCAAGACCAATTTTGTTGCAGAAAAAAAGATTCAAGTATGTCAGTCCTGTCACCAACCCTGGTTTTCGAGATCTACTTTCCTGCCGAGTCTAGTTCCAATCACAATCTGCCACACCTGCTCCAGCTAATTTACTTCTTTAGAGCTTCTTAATTGGCTAAATCAGATACATTAGTGTTGGCTAAGGGGGAGGCAGCATGTTGGTTGCAGGTTGCAACTATATTCTGCAGGTAAGTAGATCTCCAGAATGAGGCTTGGTGACCACTGATGTAGATGATTCTGGAATGAAGTTAAAATAAACAAATCAAATCTCATTAGGATCAAATCTGAAGGCAGAAAACCTGACACTAAACAGAGAATTACAGTATATGATTTATCATGTAGGGACGTGGCTCTGTAGTGTCGGAGTGCTTAAGTCCTGCACTGTTTGGTGATCTAATATGCTGTAACACACGATTCATTGTTGTGGCATGATAAGTGTTGTGCACAGATGGTGTACACATTCACACACACACACATACAGATGGTGACGCAATACTCACATGCCGCAGCTCAGGCGTCCAGGTTCGGGGCTGCTACTTTGTGACTGGGGTTGCTGGGAAATGATGAGAGAGTGTTTACTGAGGTGGGGCATCAGTCTGTGGGTGGAGTCTAAAGGACGGGACAAAGTGCTGCAGTACCTCACTGAGGTCTCTGCTATATTCATGATCTCATTACACACTGCCTCCTTTTGGAGGAGGAAAGTCAGCAGAAGGAGGGTCCACAGAGGAAAGGTCAGGAAGGGTCAGTCAGTCAGATGGAGATTGAGTTTGAGGAAGGGGCGGGCAGGTTAGAGAAGACAGCAATGGAAGTCCAGTGAGTAACAAGGCAGAAAAGAAGGGTTGTCCATTAATACCACAAAAGCCAGATGTGGTGAGAAGGATCCACGGAATAGGCATGGAAGAGTAAGACAGTAGAGTGAGTCCATACAGGAAAAATGAAGGATTAGATAGATTTATAGATGCAAGAAATTTTACAGAGTTTTGGCATGCATTAAAGGAGGGAGTTTTAAATACTAGAAAACTTAAAAAAGACAGAAATGAAAGATGGGTTCAGGTGATTCACAGTGACTGGATTTAGATCATGAATTCCCCATTTTACACTGCAAATATAACAACAACAATCCATCTATGCATGAACTATTAACTGGCTTTGTTTTGTAGAGTTGGAGAAATTGTCATGTGGATGTGTTACCGTGAATGAGTTGGCATTCATGTTGTTATCCTGGATGTCGAACAACATGACCGGACTTCTTGAGGATCGCCCATGGTAGTCTCCTTCATTCTTCAGAGGCTGAGGAAAAAAGGACACTAATGGTCAGCTATAAAAGCCACCCTGAGGTTAAACTGGACTTTAGTTGAATCTTTGTTTAGAACTTCACTGGGGAGTGTGAGTTAGTAACAGCCACCACATTTCCTGTTGCAGTCACACAAAAATAACAACAACCTGCAAGTCACACCCACATACACCAACCATTACAAAGTGGAAAAGCTTATGAATAGTAGTGAGCACTTAAGGTTATATATTGTATTGGAATTGGAACCCCGATGCTGTTAAAGCAAAATATAAAAATGAAACATATTCTGAACACAGACAAATTATTATAGATCACATCTGAATCTCTCTGTCTGCAGTTGGCTTAATTTTCAACTGCTGGTATAACGTTCCATATATAGAGATCCACACTACACATGCAAAGTTTCACAAGAAGCCACAGGAAAGCCTGCAACTGTTTTCTCTATATTTGTGTTAAACAAACAGCTCTCAAAAGGATCCATGCAGCCACTTCTTCCTCAAATGTGTTTCCTTGCCTTGCGTGTGTGTATACAAGCTCGCATCACATCTCATTTCAGTCACAATACTGTTCCTTTAAAGGGCCCATATTTTTTGGGTTTGTTTTTGTTTTTCCCTAAAATCCACCTTTAATTTGTCAAACTTTGTATACCAAAACAGCATTAATGTATTTTTACATGACAATTTAACCTCTCTTACAATCCAACCTCTCTTTATCCCTTAGAATTAAACTAGGCAAGATTTCTTACTTTGTTTTTAAAACTGATATATGTAAATGACCTCTATTCTGATTGCCTCACTCAAAAAAAGCAGTCCAAGTTGAAATTGATGGTACAAACTGTTGAAAAGGTTCAGACTGAAATCCTCAGGGACATTGGAAAAATAAACTTCAGCCACTCCTTTCAAATGTCTTGATCCTTCAGAAGCCTGAAATATTTCATTGCTTCCCATCAGCCAGGAACAGTACATTTTATTGTTTTCTGACCACTTCCAACTTGCGCTCCAACAACTATGCGACAGACTGTGGCAGTAACAACACTCTTTACCATTTCAACATGAATTTGTTGTTTTACATATGTACATGTATTCACGGTGGTGACATCACAACCAAGATGAATTCAAAACAGTTTGCATTCCATTTGCTGTGATTTCCATATATGGACTGGTATGGACAAGTATGTAGAATACAATCAAACTCTTATTTCAAAAAAGCACAGTAAATTAGATCCTCCATGATATGGGCCCTTTAATTTAAACATTAGGTCGGAAGTTGATGTTAGTGACTTAAGCTTAGCTACAGCACTGGTTGCACCTGGAGTAAGCATTTCACACCATGCAGGAGATACCTCTGCTGGGCTATTGCTCCAGCTGCACGGAGCCTTGTGGAGGCCGCCGACCCTGTCTAGCTCCACCCTTTCCCCCTGCTGCAGCTCGTGCTCCAGCCTGGCGCTACCCCCACCACCCAGCCAACCCTCCAGGCCAGCGCCTCCGCATGGACTCAGGCTGCGGGACAGGCGAGGCGAGGGGGGGCACAGAAGAAAGTCCTCGCCCTGCGGCGGGGTGAAGGTGAGGAAGGGAGTGGCCGAGCTAGGCCTTGGTGGGTAGGGCGGGGGCAGGGGCGAGGTGGACGGCGAGGCTGCAGGGGAGATGTAGTAGGGACTGCTGGTGATAGGAGGCACAGGGCTGGCAGAGTGGGATGGCGGCAGATACTCGCCCAAGCGGTAGGTGCCGCTGGGTAGGGGCGGGAGGGGAGGTGTGGGGGCGGCCGGGGGGCTGCAGCTCACCCCCTCCACAGTGAGGGAGATCCACTCGCTGGACACGGCATGGACCTCAGGTGACACAGAACGGGAAGGAGGGCGGGGAAGGGGCAGGGGGGAGGTGGTGAGGAGATTACGGGACGGCTTTGAGTCCACATAGATCAGGGTCAGGAAGACGGATACGAAGAAGAGAAGGAAGAAAAGTGTGAAGATCGAGGAGGGAAAAGAGAGTGAACCATCAAACAATGAAAACAATAATGGATACAACTAGAAAATAAAACAGAACTTTTAACTTGTTTTTTAAATCTTTCCTCAAAAAACAACCGATTCACTATAGTAGTTCACATTTTTCCTTGCTCTAACATTAACAAATCCTTCCTGAGCTGAAGGAGGTGCATTAAAGCAAGGAAAACTATACAGTGTGCAGGGCAGCAGTACTCCAGGATCAGGGCTGGGAACCACTGCACTAGAGCAGCAGAGCAGCATGAGTGTTGCTCACCTGTGGCGAGGCATTAGTGCTGCGATGAGGGGAATGGCTAATGGGAGGGTCAGGGTAGTCCACTCCATTTTTAACACGGGGTCTTTTGTGCACCTCTACGTAAGTGACAGGGAAGATGCCTTGCCGGTTGGTGCCTGAGATTTTGCCCTCATACCAATTCTCATCCACCCTACGAATCAATGTGATGCGCTCGCCCTGCAGGCAAAGAGAAGGTTAAATAGATAACTTTAAAATACTGACAGCCTCTAAAGAGAGTAATTGTACTTAAACAGAAAAGAATAGAGACTTTTGAGTCTTAGGCCAAATGCTGTATGTTTTTTTTTTATGCTATTGCTATACTTCAGCAGCCGTAGTTTTTTCATTCAAATAAAGCTTTTAAATGGCAAATTTCATGAGCGCTCTCCTGATAAAACCAAAGCTACTACCACTCTTGCCATGGTGATAAAAATAGGAAACATCATTCACCCTACTATCATGTTCATCTCTTTATGTGAGCTTTATGTTTGGTTCATGTGAGTCCCATGTTCACGCAATGAAAATGTTATTGCTAAAAGTAATAAATGCTTTCTGATTAAGTGTTTTTTGGCCACTCGTGTAGTTATATTCAAATGCACTGCTTTTACATTGAAAAAATCTCTCTTTAGGGACAATATTGTGCAAGAAGGGGGCAAATGTGATGAATCACAATTAACTACACAAATGTATGCAATCATCATTAATTATTTTAACTGTTTAACAACCCTAATGTATGTATATACAATATATGTCTACAAATGTACACACTCTTACAAGAGAAGAAATGGAAGGGATACATGCTTTGTAACAGTTATGTACAACCCCATTTCCAAAAAAGTTGGGATGCTGTGCAAAATACAAATAAAAACAAAATGCAATGATGTGCAAATCATTTAAACCCTATATGTAATTGAAAATAATACAAAAACAACATATCAAATGTTGAAACTGAGAAATTGTATTGTTTTATTGTTGCTGATTTTATTGAATCTGGAAAAATCTCTGTATGCAAGGGATAAGGCCAAAAACCAGTATTTGCTGGCTGCGATGTTTGGGCTCTCAGGAAGCACTGCATTAAAAACAGATATGATTCTACAGTGGAAATCACTGCATGGGCTCAGAAAAACTTCTGAACACCACTTTCTGTGAACACAGTTCATCACTGCATCCACAAATGCTGCCACCTTCTCTGGGCCTGAGCTCATTTAGAATGGACTAAGGGGAAGTGGAAAAGTGTCTTGTGGTCCCACAAATCAATTTAAATTCTTTTTGGAAATCATGGACGCTGTGTCCTCTGGGCTATAGACCACACAGCTTGTTATCAGTGCACAGTTCAAAAGCCAGTATTCGTGATGGCATGGGGTGCATTAGTGCACATGGTATGGGTGACGTGCACAACTGTGAAGGCAACATTAATGCTGACCGATATACATGATTACATATCCAGATGACACTTCTTTCAGGGAAGGCCTTCATTATTTCAGCAAGACAATGTCAAACCACATTCTGTACGTATAACAACAGCATTGCTCCATATTAAAAGAGTCCAGGTGCTAAACTGACCTGCCTGCAGTCCAGACCTGTCACCTGCTAAAAACATTCAGCGCATTATGAATTGAAAAATATGACAAAAGAGACCCCACACTGTTGAGCAGCTGAAATCCTGTATCAATCAAGAATGGGAAAACATTTTACTTTCAAAACTACAGCAATTGGTCTCCAATACCTACAGAGTGCTGTTAAAAGAGGAGGTGATCAAACACAATGGTACACATCCTACGTCCCAACTTTTTTGGAACGTGTTGTTAGCATCAAATTCAAAATGGGCATATATTTTTCAAAAAACAATAAAATTTCTCAGTTTCAACATTTGATATGTTGTTATTGTAGTATTTTCCTTTAAAAATATGGTATAGATGATTTGCATTTCATTGCATTCTATTTTTATTTACATTCTGCAGAGCGTCCCAACTTTTTTTGGAAATGGGGTTGTACTTCTAAAATTAAACTAGATTCCAGACTAAAATGTATCACTGATGATATAATTAAATATTCAGTTTAATCATTGTCCATACACTGATGTCTGTAATTTCTACCTTTCTGAAAGACATCTCAACAGCGGTGTCACCAGTGAAATTAAAGCGGGCAATGGCCTCTCCATACTCCAGCACTTGAACGGGAGCACTCTTCTTGGGCTGGGCTTTTTCTGTAGGGGGCAGGAGCTAGAAAAATCCAGCACACAAAACAGAAATGAGAATGATTAGCATGAGATGAATATAGTGTGACCAGACTGAAATCTTATTTTATACAGGTCAAAAAGAAATATTACTGCAAGCAGATGAGCGTACCTCAACGTAGTTGCGAGGGAAAATTCCAACTCTACCATGATGCTCTCCTTCATACCAGTTCTGGTCCACTTGCCGATAGATGTACACAATATCTCCCTTTTGAAATGGCAGCTCCCTGACAATGAGAGAAGTCCAGTTAAGTATTGTATTATTTAAATTATTTAGGTCTTTCTAAACTGTCAATATGCATTTACTGCTAATAAATAATTTAAAATGTTTTTAAAATTCTATCTATCTATATATCATTTAAAATTATTTATTAGCAGTAATCAACATAAATTTATCATGCTACAAATATCAATATCAAATATCACTTAGAACACTCACTTTACAGTCTCTGCTTTGAAGTTAAACAGGGCCAAGGCAGGTGTTCTCTGTAAACATACGTCATACAGACTCTTAACACTGGAACATGATGCTCGGCACCAATGCAGTCAAAAATAATACAAGCAATACATCATGGCTGTCATGTAGCTGTCTGTCTCACGGTGGTGGAACGTCCTATTGGGAAACATATAAGCCACACTTCCTCAAAAAAGGGACAAGTCATCCTGTTAATGAGTCAGTAAGTCAGTCACCTCTGGTCCAGATTTCCTTTTCTCTGTGTCGCTGATGGTAAGCAGGTCCCCAAAGCGGTCATTGGTGATGAACTGCTGATGGGTGAGCACCAGGCCTGCGTGTCTCCGGGACGCTATGTCCGCTTCTTCCTGCTCTCGCTTCAGGCGCCTCTGCTCCTCTAGAATTTTCTGGAAATACATCGCTGCTGTCATGTAACTTTTTTAATCGATTTGAAAATGCCAGCTGCCTTTTATACTATGTGAATGCTTAACAATAAAAACAATATAAACACCAAACAAAAAAATCTAAAATACATTTAAGTAACAATATCAGATGTTAAGAAAACGTTTATTCCTATAAAGATGAGTCTGACAAAGTAAAGTTTTCTTATGATAGCAATGATATCTGGCTTGCAGTGTACTCACAATATCAATGTAAGAATAGTTCATAAAACACAGTTTACTTTATATGCATATACAATTCTTTAAATTGTTTCATTACCTATATATCAAAGTATTCTTCTAGCACAATTTATCCAAATTCACTGTCAGATATTATGAATAGTTTTCAAGCATTTAAAAAATGGTATGTGGAGAAAAACTGAACAATATTTACGATGTTTTAACAAAACAGTCGTCAGTATGTTCACTACAAACACCAAAACATAACCTGTACCTCTTTGTCTCCATAGCGTCTGCGGACCACCTCATCTGTGTTTTCTCCCTGGTCTCCTTGACTTAATGGGTGTGAGGATTCGGAATCTGTTTGAGACAAACAAGAGTAACTTACAAAATAAAATTTACGGAATACATTTTCGGCATGATGACTAAAAAATGTACGGAATCAAGAGAACTCCCATGCTAATTCACCACAGTCGAAACACTACCACCACACAACAATAAACTAAAAAGTTAATGAGGATAATTAATGAAGGATCTGGCATGGATAATGCAGTTGGAAAGAACACACAAGTAAATAGAGAACCAAACTGATGTGAACACACAATGGTCTCCATGCTTGATTCAGCACTGCAAACATCAGATTACAAAAGTATAAAAATGTTTGAATGTTAGCCATGATGTGTCCAAATAAAAGAAGGTATTAGAAACTATAGAACATCACATATGTGAGAATATACATTCACATTCACAGTGTGCAAATGTATAATACAAAGAGATCACAATGACAAATGTAAAACAGTATGTATTAATAAGGTGCAAAAAGATCAAACGAACAATCATTTCAGTCGAACTATTTAGTCGAAGCTATTTTAAACTATGTTTCATTAAACTATGAGTCATGGCAAGGAAAGTGTTTCATTAAAATAATATGGTTAAGTATTAGGTGTAGTTTTATGATGGAATCTGGGGTGCTAAAATTCACAGCAGAAGCTTATAAAGAACAAATCTCATTTATATTAGCTCTTTTCTTTGTTCGGTAAGACAGAAAACTGTATAACAGCTGTATTTGTTAATATCTGTGTTATTATATTTGGCTGACATTTAAAAATTTTAAAGATTTGGAATCAAAGGTTGCCACAGCTAGGTTCTGAGGACTGCACTGACAGATCAATCGCAATTCAAGATTGCTTAAGATTGCTTGAGTGAAATAACAACTGACCACAAGAAAAGGTCAAATAAATAAATAAATAAATAAATAAATAAATCACATTATTGACATGAAATGACATACTTTCAGACAAACCAGCAGAACTGAAACAGAGATGAATGTGATATCTTTGTCACATACCAAACAAAGTAGAATGGATATCATGTCATTTTGTCACAAGAGCACACAAAGTTGGCCACACACTGCACACCACTGAGATGGGGAAAGTAAAGTCATTTGGTGGTGAAGGGATAGCAGACAGGAGAGAGGGATCAGAGGGAAATGAGTGGTCACAGGCATGGCCATGGCGAAGTGTGAATGTGGAGAGAGTAACACTCAGGAGAGTCGCAGCATAGCCACCTCCACAGTGGTTTTTATTGGCGTCTGAGCATTCCCCGTCCGTGAGCTCATGGGCGTCCCCCCCCTGGCACGGCGAGCCGTCGCCATTACTGAGCCTCTCCAGCACCTCCAGAGAAGACAGACGCTGAGGGATAACAGGCCTGGGCCTGGACGAGAAGATTCGACCATCTGCCACATCTCCGGCCAGGGCTTTGGTGGCTGAGAGAGTCTTTTTGGCCTGATGAGTGTGCAGCGTTCTCCGTAAGGAAAACGGCGCTGGACCCATCAATAATAAGTTTGTGGGAGGGGTTGCTCTTCTTTCTGGGACAAAGCTACTGCTGGCTTGCTGGCGCTCATGCCTGCGGATGGTGGTGAAGCGGGTGTAGGAGGCCGGACAGGAGCCTTTACACTTACTGGGTTTGAGGTGGAGTGGGTGGAAGGGGAGATGGTCATGATGATGGTGGTGATGATGGTGCTCTGATGTTGGGGTGCTGGCCACTGAGGGACCACTTAAAGTATTCTCAGCTGCAGCACTTTGAACACAGCTGTTTTCCAGTTCTTCTTCTATTCCGTCTGTGTGTGAGTGTGAGTCAGTTCTTGAGGTATGGTTCTGATTAGAGGGTTCCATGCATTCTGCTGCTTCTCCACCTGAGAAAGAAGCCTCCTCTCTGGACAGTTTGTCCTCTACAGGCACTAGCGGGCAGTCGTCTGTTTGTGTCGGCCCTGGCACGACCAAAGACTCAGCAGAGAGAGCCGACTGGAGGAAGCAAGATCCAGGGGCAGGACTGTGGGCGGGGCTTGGGCCGCTGGGTAGGGTGGGCATGGAGGCGGAGCGAGTGGGTGCCGTACTGGAGCGCTGAATGATGCGTTCAAACTCCATCACCCGAAATGTCACGGCATCCCGCGGAACATTCCCTGACCGCTCCGGACCACTGAGCTCGTCCCCTGGCTTCTCAAAGAGAGAGGCCAGGCTGCGGACGCTGCCATGTGGGCTGGAGCCCAGTGAGCTGGGCCTTTGGATGTGGTGCATGTTCCTGTACAGTGCAGAGAACTCCGCTGTGCTCCTCAGAGTACCACTGAGAGGACCGTTTTTTGGAGATGTCCTGCTCTCAGGCAAACAGTTGGAGGCTTTGGAGTGAGAAGCTAACCCATGATCACTGTCTGTTGCATCTCCGTTGCCCAATACATGGCAGGGCTCCTGGTGCAGATCCTCACAGCTGTGCGCTTTTGGCCGAGACGCAGGCTCAGCCCTCCTCTCCTGGCCCTCATCAGCAGAAGGGGAAAGCTTAGGCTTGAACTTGGAGGGAAGGATTTGAGGGATGCAGGCTTTGGCAGCAGACAGAGACTTTTTACTCTTATTCTGATTACCTAGCGTGTTACTGGCAAGAACTGAGCGACTATTTACAGAGGAGCATGGTGAAATCATACAGCCATTCCCACCTTTATAATCCACTGGCAGGCATGCAGGGTAACAGAACAAAAAGCATGTTAGATTACTCTTGCACTAAATTAAAAACACAAAAACACATTTCATTGTTATCATATCATCAGTACTAGACAATTTTGTTTCTCTGAAGAATATACAACAGTAGAAATGAGATAAAAACTATTACAAATCAGATTATCAAAGAGGATGCATATAACTGTAGCTACAGAATGCAGATCTGCCACAGAGAACTACTTCAGAACTATTACAGTAAAATCTCAAAAATACGACCTTAAATCACTGGTTATACCTAACCTTTGAAGGAATATGATGAGCACATAAAAATAAAAGAAACTGCCATGCAATGATCATAAATTAAATAATGATAAAAAGAAACACATTTTACTTAAATTATGCAACTAACAGAACTAACTGGTTCAGAAAGCACCAGAAAATCTCTGGCATCTTAAATATAAAAAAGAGCTGAATGATCCCCCTCTATAAAATACCAGAGTCCCCCTTGAGAACACTACAACACAACCAGCACATCCTCTTTCTTTATTTAACATACATAGTCATGCAGTTTCTTAACTGAAGCTGCAGCAAACACAACACAAATCCTATTCCTTCAGTCTCAGAACGTCAGATCTAAATATTCATGAATAGAGAGATGATCAACATGTCAGTAGTCCTGGGACAATGGTATTTGCCATTTCAAATGAGCTTCACTTCAAAGACATCATATCCATTTTGACCAAGTCAAATGAGATCTGAACTTCTAAAATAAAGTATTTGCCTATTCCTTCACTCACATATTTACTTCATCACTTCACTCACAGTGGGAACTTGGCAACAAGGTCCATAAGTAGACCAGATGTGGTTGTTTCCTATTCTGAAGTCTTTTCCAGCTAGAGCTGCCATGGGTCATCCTATGACCTCTTACACAGTCTGCACCAAGGCAGCGCATTGTCAAATGTGGCACTGACACCAAGGTTATTGTTCAAATGCATTAAGAAAACTCAGATTTACATTGGCGTAAAATGTGAGGAAGGCAATTCTTTCAAGTATATATGCTGATCCTGGGGGAAGAACCTGAAGATTACATGCTGCAGAAGGCATGAATGCTTCCAATTCACAGATTTTTACAGAGTACCTAAGTCAACTAGTGATGGCAAGAGCCAGATGAGTTTGGAAGTGTGTAGGAAATTCCTTTCTGATGACGTATCTGACCTAAACTCTGCTGACCTAATGTCTGTACTGCCTCACAGGAGCTTCTGAAACACACTGTAGATGTACCTCACAATCCAAAACGTCCATTAACTCTGTTTACACTTATTGACCTTGTGTTACTTAGTAAGTGTTGTATATTTATTGTACAATAGAGAGTGAAATCATCACAGAGTATATTACAAATACTTTCATGGACATTTGCACAAAAAAATTACAATCTCTTTACAAAAGCCAACATTTAACTAAATTAGGCAAGACAAATAGCATATTATAGCTATTACAAGAAAACCTTATTTTAGACTTTCTTGAAACAGCTGCCCTTGATACTGTGTGAGTATTTAATGCCAAACAAAATCAACAAATGAACAAATGCTTGAAAATTATACAGGTTTTTAAGTTAAAGGGACATTTTTCCTTCTATAAAGATACTGTTTCAAAAGTACAGTAAACCAACAATATACAGATGCTATACTTAATTTCAGGAAAAGCCTGGAGAAATGAGCTGAGCACAGAAGAGAGCTACATCTGTGTCTTAAAGTTCAGGCTGTGTTAACTATTAGCGGAAACAGGCCTCATCCCCCCCTGTGCGTACCCCCTTCCAAACCCCCTTAAAAACCACCCCAACCTCCCCCAGGTCATGTGTGCTGGCATTCCATGAGTCTGACAGCTGACTTCCTCATGCTTGGCCACCCCTGCATGCATGCCCTACAAGTTGATCCCACCCCCACAGGTCCAGCAACAAACACTATATCCCTGCATTTATCTACAGCGGCAGCCCCCTTTCCTCACACCCCAAACAACAGAGCCGGGCGCCAGCTTCCAAAGCCCCCTCTCAGCCTGTACCACAGACGCCCAGCCGGCCCTAACCACCATCCTCGTCTGGCGCGGCTGGACCTTCTGGCCAAAAGCAGCCAGCCACCAGTGAAGACAGAGGTGACTAAAGGTCAGGCCAGACATCTGTTATGTGTCAAGTGTGAAAAAAAAACAACAAAAAAAACAGCTTCGACGGAACACAGGAAGACAAATGACTGGTGTTGCTCTAGTGATACTGTGGCGGGAGGAATGTGCTGATGACAAGATGAGCAGGGTTAAAAGGACAAGTCATCTGCTGGAGCTTAGCAGACCATTAATGTGAGCACTAACACATACGATGCAGCCCTACTAGAAATACATGCAGTAAAGTCTAGTTCACTAGAGACTCCTGTATGCTTGAGTATTTAGTATTCCTGGCCACAGGTTTAACCATGACGGAGAGTGAAGGCTGCAGGCCTACCTTTAGAGGAAGTGCTGGGATGGCGTTTGTTAAGCGCACGCAGGCCCTGCAATGGGATGTCGCCGCCCTCCAGGACACTCTTGTAAATGTGCCGGTCGCATTCTGGGGCCGCATGCTCAGTTGAAGCCGAGCCGCCCTCCTTCCCCGCCACACCAGCACTTGCTTTGCAGGCCGAGCTGACAACAAACACAGAGAAGGAAATTATCAGATTCACCCCATAAGCCTAATTAGCACAGAGTGTTTGTGTTATCACTTTAAGAGGATCACAGAGGAGATTCTCAGAAATGAAAAGAGTGTCTCTTTAAGTATTCTTGACCACGTTCATATGAGCGCTCCTTCATATCTGTTAAATTGTTGACCTTATCAATGGAGTTCGCAAAATTCCAATTTAATCACAAATAAATGTCTATATATATATCCAGAGCTGGCCAATGCTGGGAATTACTTTCAGACCTTCAACGGCTAAACTGTTTTCTGGGCATGAATACAAAGCGAAACACTTTGGGTCTGCAGCCAGCCATAGCCTGAGTGCTCGCACCTTGATATTGATGAGACAGAAACAGCTGCATTAACCCTTATCAGAGCATTCCTGAAAGGCCAGAGAGACAGCCTTTTAAAAACACAGCTGAAGCTCCCTACATGGAGCTCATGACAGAAATGTGGACTCTTACAGCGAATGTTAAACTCATGCCTTATATAAGAATAGAGTGCTGCACAATAGAGAATAAATCAATAACAGCATATGCCTGGAGGCAAAAAAAGCCATTCTATAATTAACCTGCAAACAAACAAAACAGTGAGCCTCATGTAGGCCATAATCCAACAAGTGATTTGGGAGGGGATTTTAGGCATGAAGAGGATTTCAAGCATTAAGTTAGAGTGAATGGTCTCAAACATGTGCTCTTCCCTCCCTGAAGGCTGCTTATTCACCCGCTGTAATCAGCTCAATACTTAGACCACATCCCTCGAACACACCCTCCTTTCATTGCTGGACACATGCTAAAATGTTCCAGGGTAAAACTGTTCAGCACATTCAAAAATTTCCTGAACTACTCACTATTCAACAAAGGTGTTACTGTGTCCAAAACACAGCTTTTCTAAGATCTGCCCTGTGAGGGTCAAAAATGTACTAAATTATTCCATAAAAGCAGAATTGAGTAGTAAAGGATTGCAAATTGTTTGGATTACATAATTAGATTGGAAAAATAAAACAAAGTCGCAATTTTCAAAAGATTTTGTGAATATAATTTGGATATTTTGGGTGAACTGCTCATTTGGAAATTTTGTGATAACTTACACCTTATTTGTATGTGCATTAAAAGTATAACACAATTACAAAGCATGTTCTGCTCCAACAAACTCAATATAATTAAGTAAATATAACAAAACATAATCCAAAAATAATCCAGTTTTGCTTTTTAGCAACAGCTTCCAGTAAAAATTACTGGGCATTTCCAGTCAGCCAATTTGTAATGACTGCCTCATTACATGTTCTGTGTAATCCACCAGGCACTAAAAGTGACACAGCCACATAAGTGACACTAGTGACAACTCCTGGAATGCAGATGCTTTCCAGTGAAGCTGTGTACAGTGACTATCTGTGTCACAGCGGACGCCAGGGGCTTCAAACACGGGAACCTGAGCGGTTGCCCACCAGCTGCTGGATTGGAGATGATCTTACCAGATTTACCTGAGCATTAGATCTCGCTCACAGTCCGTTGTAGATACACATATCAGAACAAGTAAAACTACTTTCCATAAAGGTAAAGGTCCAGCCTGCTTTTATGAACAGTCTGCTATACAGAAATACAGCATTGTCTGCAGAAAAGGAAACTCCTGCAAAAATGAAGTGTTTCTATCTTGAATCCTATGCCATTCTACAAAGGCCATGGGAGCATTCTTTCACCATGTTTAGCACAGAATGCTAGCTGGCCTCATGGTTTATAACAGGGAAACTGCTCTGAATCATGTGGCTTTAGAAAAAAAACAATAAAGTCTTTAAAAAGCTAAACATCCTCTAGCCATCAAAGGGAAAGCAAAAGATGAAAACCAAATGCCACAGATTGTTAAGAGATAGTCTCAGAACAACTCTCAAATCATTGTGCTGAAACCTGTGCCTCTTGTAAATAATATTTCAGAGAAATATCTGAGATTTGTAAAAAGTAACAGTGATACTTCAAGTTTCTATAACTGAAGTAAATCAACACAATCACTGAATCTTCAAACCAAAAAAGGCTTGAAACAATCTTGGCAGGCAAACTGTAGACTTTATTGATCTTTTTCTAAGGCAAGCTTGAATACCGCAGGTTTTTCACCCAGGAATGGAATGTTCTCCTCACAGCTTTTGAAAGATGCTTGGGGAACTTTCTAACATTGGGCCACGAAACCGTAAAAGCACTGACTGTGGCAAGCCAGGGATTCATTGAAATTTGTCCCAACGACAGCAACACAACATAAATCAGCACAGGCGTAAACAAAGCCATGTGATGTAAGAATGTGCCCGGTGGTGTGGCTGCTACCTAAATACCCCCGTCGCACGAAAAACATTAGCCTAATAAAAAGCCCTTAGTGCACTCCCCCACAGATGAGACTGGGGGAAATTCTGTGGAGCTGATGGGTGGGAGGGAGCGCTCTCTTATCTTTCCACAAAAGACATCCAGGTTTCATTTTCAGACACTGGTTTCAGCATGGAATAAATCATCACATACTGTCCATTCCTTCTCTTCCAGCAAACCCCCTTGCTCACACACACGCTTCACACCCACTCACACACACACACCCACAGGACACACTGTACTGATATTGCGAACAGGCGCTCAGGAAACAGGAGGGGAAGCAGGGGATGTCTCCACAGCCCCAGTGACAGCACTGAGAACACACAGCTATTCAACATCAGCACTGAAAAATGGTGGAGAAGAAGATGAATATGCGAAACATAGCAAAAAAGAAGGAAACAGAGTGAGGACTTACTATTGCTGCAGGTCGGAGGGTGTTTCCAAGGGGCTGAAAGAGGGGGCACTCTGCAACAAACCAAACAAAGAAGTCATTGATAGCTCCACAGGCTCAACTCTCTGGCAGTTAGAAAAGGAGAGGGCACATTAGAGTCGGTCAAAGCTGCTGAACGCCTCGGAGTGGTCTCCTAAGGTCAAAGCTGAAACTCCTAGGTCCTCCGGACGAAGTGTAGCGTGGAGGAGCAAGCGAGTATTTTGGCCCGCATGCAAGTTAGGGGGGGAAAACAAGCGGCTGGAAGCAAAGGGGCGGGGTTAGTGGGGGCTCTGAGGGGCGCCCATGTTGGGAGGGGGCTGTCAGCGGCTCAGCCAATCAGCTCCTGTCTCTCTGTGTAGCCTCTCTTTTGTCTGCTATTGAGTCACTCTCATTACTAGCCGAGCAGACCAACAGACAATTAACCAGCTGGTGTGGGAAGCAGGCCAAATTACATGGGCAGAGACACACACACTCACACAGAACACACACTCGCATTTTCAGAATAGCATGCATTGCGTACACCCATATCCGCCATCCTGCACATACGCACAGAGGTGACATTAATAGTATGTGAGAGGAAGTTTTCATTTGGCCGTGCTTTGGCGGCTCATGCACCGGGCCAATAAGGAGAGCGGCTGTTATTACCAGGCAGCAACTCCGAACAGCAGAGGGCTGCTGTGCTTTGAATGGTTTAGAGTCGGCTAATTTTAGGTCACTGTTTCTGTTGCTTTTCCCCAAGTGGACGTCACAGAGTACAAAAATAACATGCACCAACAAAGCACCTCAAAATAAAAGCACAAGTGTTGTTTGCAAATAAGATTGCACAATCACGACCCGCTACCGTCCCTTTTGAGGAAAGCGGCCCGTGTGCCCACTCCCCCCGAGCCAACGGATAAAGAGATGGGCCCTATTCTCCTGACCACAACATGTCCCATTGGTTGCTAGGGGAAAAAAAAGGATCACAAATAACCTTTGGACATGAATGTCAAGCTTTGTATTAGAATTTCAATCTGGCAGGTCTAAAGACTCTTCTATTTATAAACCCTCATGTTCCAGAAGCTTCATTCTTCAAGGGTAACTGACACATGAAGCTACTTTTATCAGTGGAAAATGGCCCTTCTGTTCCCATCCTGTCTGCCTGTTGTGGAACTTGTGAAGGAGAAGGCAGCGTGCTTTTGTAGGGCTTCGGGCCTGAGCGGTTAATTGAGCCTGGCACTGGTGCAGCAAATTCACAAACAGGAAGCACGCGTGAGGGCCTTATCTGAAGCAGCACACATCTAGACCTAGATACCGAGATAGCACAAACACAGCGATAATGATGACTGTTTGAGGGGAAACAGCAAGAAAGTGAAAGCCACACTCGTTATGTAATCCCACCCTTGCTGTAATAATGGTAAATAAAACTCACTTTCACTCCTCTGTATTTACAGCCATTGCTGCTGGCCAAGATGATGTTGTATTACTTTCACATGATCTACTGCTCAAAAGTTTGGAATCAATGTTTTCAATAATATAAAACTAATTTGGTTGCAGATGTATTCAATTATTCTAATATGCGAGTCCTGAGCAACTTCACGTTTCAAATAATTAGCTAGGAAAATGAGCATCCAGAATGCATCTTATTTCAAAATCAGTGGTCAAATCTCAAAGCACACACAAACAAAAATGTAAATAGATAGTAAGATAATCGTAATACATTAAGGTACAATTATTTATCATTTAATAGCTTGTTTTTGATCAAATACTGAATAAATAATTAAAAAAAAACTTCTGTCTAGTTTATAATATTTAAATATTATACAGTTGTTGTATATGAAATAAAAATGATTCATATGACAAGTGATGGCAATTTGGCAATATGAGAACGGTTGAATGGTGTATAAAACTACAGGAAAAAATGTCTTCTATCTTCAAGTGTAAAGTCGAGCAGATAATCAGACTGAATTCCTTACTTCATCCTTAGCCAGCCACAGTTAAAATGAGAGTTTCTAAGTTGCAGGTTTATAATAAAAGTTACCCAAAAATGTAGCGCCAGTGACCTAACTATCAATTGCAATTTTATCAATGAAAGGAAACAGGCAGGCTTTGAGATTTAAACCACTCAACCATCACATAAAATGCCAACCATCCTAACATTTCACATGTCTGGAGTCTCGGCTAAGATGGGAGTACAGCATCCTCCCTCTATATTAGGATTTAAAGTGATAAGAACAGAATGTTACTCCCTGATAAACATTTAAGTCTGCTATGAAACATGTAATATCTCCTTTATTGCATAAGCCAAAGACTGACCGTGCTGCCAGCAGTGACCTAACACTGGCTAAAGTAAGTATGGGCAAAGCCCAATGCCATTCTCTCTGGAGCTTTCACCACAGCCTGTTGCTACCAGCCAGGCAGCACAAACAGTTTCTCATATTCCTCTCCTTCTCCATGCAACTGTGGATGATGCAGCAGCACTAAACAGGGAAATAACTGTTGCCATAGTTGGTTATAAAAGAAGTTATAAAAAGTATTTTTAGCTGGTGAACAATCATTCAGGAGGCTTTTTTTACTAACTAGAATTGTAATGTCTATGAAGATCAACTGAATCAGCTCATGCTGAATACTGTGCTGAATGGCAGAGTGCTGTGCTAATCAACTGAAGCATAGTTCAGTGGCTTTTCATGCACAGCCATGGCCTACATAGCTGCTCCTTTCTTTTTAGCCTAAAAGTCCATCTTCATGACTATGAGCATTACAACTCCAGCTGGGAAAAACATTAAATCTTAAACTGAAATCTTACTTTTGAAAGTCTTTTTTAAAAAAAAAAAAGAAAGAAGAAACTGAGAATCTAATAAACATGTATTGAACTTTGGCCTTATTTTTTCTCCAACTGCTATTGTAAGTTGATGTCGTCAAGTATTATTTAGGAAAATGTTTTTCATATGTAATATGTGGTTCTTATGGAAGATTAGTCACTATTGGACATTGTCTTCTAGGAGATGAATTCCTTTGCTCTGACTATCAAAGCGAGTCAATGGAACACTGTGTTAACAATGTTTGCCTGTTTTCATGTGCTAGTTTCCTAACAGGTGTTGGAGATGACTCAACAAAATTTACTACTTTTCTGCTGTATAAATAGCATGTAAGTCAGAGTGCTACGCTGCAGCCTCACACACAAACAGGAGCCAAGGCTGTCTCTCTGAAACGTGGCACTTAAAATCACACATTTTGCTTTTTCTTTTCTTCTCAATGAAATAAGGTGTTACTCCCAGAAGACTGTACCTTCCCTCTGTCTGCTGTCATGGTGATTTAAAACAGATGTAAACAAGCAACAGGAAGGGAAAAACAGGCCGCATACGTAATAAAGGTGGCATACCAGATGATGGTAAACATGACGAGTAGCCTCAGGTTGCACGCTATGTGTGGGGGGGGGTTTATAGTAAGGGTCAGTTCATAGAACTCTTAAATAAGTCCCTCCTCCACATGCATGTACAAGGGCTACTTCCTAAGCAAGGCATCTTCTGACATCAGAAATCTGTCACATTTGTTTAAACTGACCAGAATGCTGGTTAACATAGGTGCTTGTGTCAGAAAGACTTTTGCAATTTATTCTACAATCATGTTCTAATGAACTGCTCTGTACTCAGCTGTCATCTAACATAAAACTGTGTTTGGGGCAGCATTTCTAGTTGTGATCCTGCACATTGTAGTGGATTTCCCTGCTCATAAGTAACCCCCTCTTAGGTTTAAAATGGGTGCGTTAGAGCAGAGCAAACGCTAAAATGGGCAGTGTAGGGACAGGATCAGAAAACACAGCTTCATTGGTCTGGAATAATTCATTTGTATGAAACTGTTACTGAAAAAGTATCAGAATTTGTGATGAAATTTTACAGCTGCTGAAGTGCCTCCTTTTGTCATATCGTTGTGTGATACCTTAAAAAAGTCTGACTCTAACCCTCGTAATGTGGGACTAATTTGGTATAGACTTGCTAATGATGTCACTGACTGTGTGCGCTGCAGGGAAAACTTCACAAGCTCCCACCATAGCACATGCTCTGGGGAGGAATGAGACACTGATTCTGACATCATACTGAAGGTTGGACACTGACTCAGGCCTGCAATTACTCATGACTACTTACTGACATTAGAGCGGAGCTAAATACCAACTATCTGAGCATATAAGAAGAAAATGTTCTGTCCAGTTGCTCAAGGCATCATTCAGCCATTCATCCCATGCAAGTCATGTTTGGCATCTGAAGTTTGCATCTGAAATTTGCACTGATGCTATAATATTATTGTACCTTACACATAACAGTGTCTTATAGCACTGTGTATGCCTGATTCATAAATTAAATGCCCCAAACTGTCAATCTCAATTAGAGCTGCTTGTGTGGTTTCTGACAACACACACTGATATACTGTAGTACATTGCATAGCTATGTACAGTAGTATCAACCACCTCTGAAGCCTCAATTTTGTCCACACCTTTTGTGTATACAACTGTGCTTCTATTTAGGGATGCACCAATATGGGAATTTCGGGCTGACGCTGACATCTTCTATGTTTCATGTACATATCTGCCAGTGCTGGTACTGTTGCAGATGCATAAACGCTTATAAAATTAAGAAGTTGGGACTATCTGGATTAGCATTACAGAGAAACAAAACATTTATTCTGATAGGGTTACAAATGCAGTTAAATGAAAATGCACACATTTTAGCACAATAACCCAGAGACACCTCAACATTCTGCTGTTCCATAATACAATACATGCATCAACAAGTATCGATTAGGTAAAAAATAGGTAAAATCTAAACGTATCCAATGACAATAATTTTTGAAAAGCAATTATATAACAATAGTGTTCTGATTTTATATCATCATTGAAGTCTTAAATAAGACCCTTACTAATTACTTACTAAATACTACATTAACCTCATAGCTTGAGAGCAAATAACAAAAGAAGCAAACTTCAGACACCAAATAATGTCACATGTTTTTCCTTTTCTATACTTCTCTATGAAATAAACTGCTGCTTTGACAGAAGACCATGTCTTCCCTCTGTCATCTGTCATTGAGATCTAAAATAGGTATAAACATCTAGATAGGAAAAAAAGGAGCCTCCATCTATAATGGAGGTGGCATACCAGATGATGATAAACATGACGAGTGGCCTCAGGTTGCACACCATTGCAGGGCGGAGGGGGGGTTACAGTACTCTGTGAAGGGTCAGTCTACAGTAGCCTCAAATAAACCCTTCTCTATACACAAACACATACACACTACACACAAACAAGGCCCTTTCCCCTAAGCAAGGAGTCACCTGACATTAAAATATCTGTCACTACATTTGGAGCATTAGATTTTTTGCCAAACGCTCACTTTAAGACATTTCTGAGTACAAAAACATAATGCAAAAATCTTTATTGTTTTTCCTCAGTGTGTAAATAGAACCTCCCTTAGCAAAAATTGCACTGACCTGATCAGTTTGGGGGATACTGTGTCCTTGAGCAGAAGTGCAAATCAGTTTGCTATTTACTCACAGGTGCTGAGTTGCTGACAACACTGCACAGGCACACTGCCGCTGATTGCATAATGACAGCCGTTCCTCCTGCATCATATGCACTGACTTCAAATGCCAAACATGCTTTTGGTGGGCCTGAAAGTTTACCTGCATCTGCCTTCAAGGACAGATGAAAGTTAACAGTGCATACTAGAAACTAATAATTACATTACAGTGTTATTATATAGAGAATAGCACACGGCACACCAAATCCAACACAACTGTAAAGGTAAAGATTCCAGACACATGGTTCTCTTGTCTCCAACCTTCACGCTGATGTTCTTATGTCACATCAGAAAACAAAACTGCTCTAGAGAGTTGGCAGAAATAGAAAACTGCTTTACATTGTAAAATACATAGAAGAATGAAGTCTGTAATGTGATGCCAAATACGACTAGACAAGACAATGAAATGGAGGGGAGAGGAAAAGTAAAAAAGAGAGAAGGTACAGTCTGAAACTGAAATCCTGAAAAGCCACAGTGTGCTCCCTGATTTAGCACATGTGATTCAACTTACCAGCTAATTACCAACTCCTTTAAAAGTTAATTTGGGCTGTGTTACAGCGGATTAAACACCAAACTCTGCAGGGTTTTCCCTGCTCTAACATGATCTGAACCAACCAATGAGGCCTTCCAGGACTGGAGTTTGAGGACCCTTGTTTAGATGTTTGTATGAAAACGTGGAGGAGGTGGTCTCAATTTTTAACAACAGACATTTTTATCATAGAGCTAAACAGAATTTCCCAAGATCACCAATAGGTATTTCCACTATTTCCTGGCATTTTTTACTAAACCTTCACCCTACAAATTTTCATTCTTGATAAAACCACACCTCTTAATTCCACAAACTGTGCAAAATGTCTCAGCCTCGAGAGTGAGAGATAACATCAGGCAACATGGACGAGACAGGGCTGAGGAAATGAGGAATTCTGGTGATGGGGTGAAGCTGAAATAGAGGTAGAGGCAGAGGCTGTCCTCCCAGGCAGACGCAGGAATGTTTAGGGTGCCAAATTAAAAAGGTATGACATGCATTTTCTCAAATATAGGTCACTTTAACTTGGACAACTTACCGCTTTGCCAAACTCCATCTCTGAAAAGAATCTATACCATGGTTCATTCTCTAAATCTACATCTTCGGGGCTTAAGTCCTGAGTTTACAAAGGCATGGCCACAAGGAATGGAAGACAAAGAAAGAGAAAGAGAAAGAGGACAGTTCAGAAATACAAAGATCATGAGACTGAATGATACACTGAGACACTTGTGAAAGATCCTATTTCTTGGGATCTTTATATATCACACCAGGTAGAAGGTTTCTAAGAAGATGAGGCTAACACAGCTAATGCTAAATTGGATTAGGTTTCTGCTTGATAACTTCATGTTTGAATGTCTGGCTTCTGTCAGCAGCCATGAGAACAGGAAACAGGAAATTAACTGCTTCTTTAGACAATACAGTAGTGACGGAAAGAGGCCCTTTGAAAACTCCTCATGGAGTTTACACTATGTAAGCAATTAGAAAGATATAGGTACTAAGCATACATCTGCTCTCTACTAAGCATACATCTGCTCTCACAAAGCTCTTTTTTTGGTGTTGCTTCTTTAATTAAAATACACTGTTTTATGGCACTTTTAGTGCAACACTTTTCTATGCTGTTCTGCAGAGCTACATTATTAAAGAAAACAGAAAAGATTGTGTTTTGCCCTAGATAGGAGCTGACCAGAGGCCATTATAATTACCTTCATGATAATTAGATACTAAAGAACCTCAAAGGCTCTTTCTCTGCCTCTAATGTGAGCACTGTGAATGAAGAGACTCAGAGCTGTTTTGTACCATCTCCAGAAAGAAACTCTTATTGCAGCTCTATGTCATCAGAGGTATTACATAATAACATCCATTCGCACTCTGAGTCATGCTTGCAAAGGCCTGAATGGCAGAAAGAACAGCCTAAAAACACGCACAAAAGCCCTGGCAAGCTCAGGGAGGGAGGTGCTCGTTTTCACAGAAAGCTGACTCCCCTACTACGCCTCCTCTGCATTATTTATTCATTATTTCCCTCAGCGCTGAATAAAGTGTCATTTTTACGTCTGCAGAATCCTTTCTTAAACACAGAATGAGGTTTGTTGGGAAAAGCCACAGTGGTTTGTGCAGATCTGAACAAAACACATGAAAAATAAAGATGCATGAATCTTATTTGACTTCTTCATATAACCCACTGGAGGCAATTAACCCCTTCAACTCTAAAGGACTTGTAGAAAAGTCCAGACTTCAATTTCTCACTTTTGTGGCTACAAATCAAGGCTACATAATAATAACAAAATTTTGTATTGCAATAATAATAAAAATATAAATTATGAACACTCAGTGTAACATGGTTAAAACCTGCCTTGTAGTATTTTACCTAAATTCCTTGATTCCTCAAAAGCACTGTGACTGGTCAAAATTCTCACTGCAATTATTAAATACTTTTGTAAATGGCTAAGCTAATTTACATATTGCCGGTCTCTACAATATCAATATTGCAAAGGCTCATGAGATTACAATTAACAACGATTTTGTGCAGCCCTAGTGGCCGTAGTGGTTACTGAATAATTCATGGTCGTTACTGAACAAGATTAATATCAAGCCTAGAGTTCAAGGGGTTAAGGCTTTTAGAGATGGCTACCAAAACATAAACCACATCCCTGTAGCTGACAAGGTTGTGAGTCATTCAAACAAGATTATTGATAGGACCGGGGAACGGCCTCAGCCTGTGTGGACGCGGCCGTGTGCGCTGCCCTTGTAAGCGAAGCAGGCAAAAACATCAGCTCTCATAGTGTCACACGGCATGCACACACACTCCCCCACCAGGTCGAGCACACGTAAGACATGCATGGACACAGAAGCATCGTACCGGTCTCTCCACCCTCAGGACGGAAGACTTCCCCGGCTCGTAGTCGAATATGCTCCTGGGCTCGGCCCGGTACTTCCTGGTGTCTACTTTCTTGTCAGGGGGCTCCCACTCATTCCTGCAGGGAAGCACAGAAGAGAGAGCCAATCCTGTGTGAGGAGGAGAGTTGCCATGGCAACCAACAAGGGCAAGTTCTGGTTGAGCATCCTCCTCACTGAGGCTTATGGCTTCATTGCTCTGATTTCTCTGAGAACGGAGCTTAATAGTGTAAAACAGCTACTTTCACATCATGCAAATGAAGAATGGAAATGTTCCTGTGTAACGGCTTCATCATGGTTTGTATCAATACTTTCAATGTCTGTTCATGGTTCTACTTGTTTTGCTGTTATTGTCTTTATCAATAAGTTATGCCCGTAAGAGTGGTAGCATAAAATTCAAGTTTCTCCAGAAGAGAAAACGGTCTTGCTCTAGAAGGACAAACCTCTCTGGCCGCAGGGAAGACGTTCGGGCTGGCACAGGGACCCTTCGGCTTGATTGGGAAGTGCCCATGTCCACTGCGCTTTTAGAACGTGGAACACTTCGCCCTGGAAAACAAGACACAATAAACAAAGGACTCACACTCAGCAAATAAGCGACACAACAAAACACTCAACTTTAATAAACACCTGAGGGACATAACCTCAATCCACAATGAACCAATACACAAACTCCAAGACTTTGTAAAGAAATGTATTATTTACATTTATCTGTGTAAAAAGGCATTAGCTGACAGTGACATCATTAAAGGGCCCAAACCCTATATTTTTGGTATTTTAATTTTTTCCCTTGGGTTCTGTCCATGAGTATAATGTATAAAGAAAAGTGTATGGGTTAATGTACTAATAACATTCAAAATGTATTTTTACATGACTATTTTCCAACCTCTGTTTATCTCTCAGGATTAAACTGGTCATTTTTGTTACTGTACCTTTACAAGGGATATATGCAAATAATGTATGTTCTGACTGGCTGCCCTATACACTGTTAGAAATAAATGTACTGTGCAGGTATATTTTTTTAATCAAAGTACAAACAATGTACAAAAAGGTACAACAGGTGTTTTAAGGTCCAATTGTGTGCCTTAAATAAGCTTTTCCCGGGTGAAAAGTAAATATTTGTACCTTTTCATAACCTAATTTTTTAAAACAGAAAAAATAAAATAAAAAGCCTGGGGACGAGACAGGGTGTGTGGAGTCAGTGCAACTTATGGTACAGTTACGTTCCTTAACTAAAGGTACTGAGATGTACCCTTGAGGGTACTGCCCCAGTGACAGTTTCATACCTTTTTTCTGAGAGTGTATGTACCTCATTCAAAAAGCAATACAGGTTGAAACATTCCTTTTAATGTTAACATGAACGGGTGCGGCTAACCTGTAAGCTGAACCGGTGAATATATGTAAATGTTAATTTTCGTGACATTACAAAAAAATAAAATTCAAAACAGACATGGGCCCTTTAAGCAATGACTTTCTCCACTGTGGCCATCAGCCTGCCATCCAGACTGCATGTGTCATCCTTTGGGCTATTTTACATAACACAGGTAAACACAACACACTCACCATCTACACCATGTGAAGGGCTTTCATCTGAAAAAGAGACGAAGATCAATAAGAATCACTGCCTACAGTTCCCTTCTACTATTCAATTATCTGCTGATTAGCTGCTGTGATTTTAATAGGAACACTGAGAAAGGTGTTGATTATTGTTCATTTATGTGATTACAAAAGGTTAACACCACAAAAAAGATACCATATATCACAATTATTTGTTAACAGGCCTGGAAGAGACATCTCACACACCCACTAAAGCTCAATCATATGCAGAATTCTAAGTACAGTGAAACATTCAGTGCACCTAATTTACAGTAGGTGGAAACTGCATGGATTAGCATGGCATGTAGCAGTCATTATCAGCTGATCAGCACCTACAGGACGCAGCTCTTGTATTTCAAGTCCAGTCCAACCAGTAGATGGCACTCCTGCAGCAGTGATGGTCTGCAACAAGCACTGCCTTGCCTTAATGTTAATAAGAAAGTGCTTTGGGCACTTTTGCCCTATTTGGTTTAAAAGGCTCATACTGTATATTTTTAATGTGGATGTTTTCGTAGGCTTATTTACCAAAACCAGAAAAATCTAAATTCACTCATTTTTCAATTTTCCAACCTCTCTGTATTCTGTAGACTTTAACTGGCTGTTTTGTTACTGTATATGGCTGATTGGCAGCCCTGTACTGCATCTTATTCAAAAAGCAGTCCAAGCACTCCTGAAACATTCCTTGCAACTTCATTGTGAAAGAGCAAAGTTAAACTGCTGTAGACTGAATAGGAAGATGTATGGAAGTGTGATGGATTTCATGACATTACAAAAACAATAAATTCAAAACAGGCCATTTTGTTGCTTAGTTTCAAAGTACAGACTGTACAGGCTGGAGAGTTAATTCTCTGTTTCTAAACTGATGATATGAGCCCTTTAAAGGCTGTGAAGATGGGAGAAAGTATCAGTAAAGTCAAACAAGATTTGTACACATCATAAATCTGCACCAGAGGAATGCAGACCAGTGTATACCCTACCACTGCATGCCATTTCAGATACACATTCAGTTCACTTACTTTACTTTGTTTAGAGTGCAACAGTTACTTTGAATCCATTAGGTCTGTCCTGACTGTTTCAATAATTTAACAGAGTGCTTCTCTAAAAGCAGAGCCATCTAAAGCACTCCATGTGCATTAGAGCTCTAAGAATGGAAGCAATAATCAATGAATGTCTTTTAAATACAGTGTAGTCTCCTTGGAAGTCTTTAGTAATTAAAACTTGACAGACTTATGTTTTGATTGATGCTTGAAATGTCATTTGATTGACAGGAGTGGGCATTACTCACAATGGATTCCATATACAGCATCGGTTTTTGATCAGACTTGAAAGGCTGTGTCCGCAAGGAGGAGCCATGCAAAACTTCAGACCTACAGACTAGACAAACTTTAAAGTCAACAGCGCCATCTAGCCTCCTTCTGCCTAGCAAGAGCAATAATGCCAAATTTTTTCTGTGGCAAATTTCAGTGACTTTTCAGGACAGAGTGCTGACAGTGTACAGTACACTGTAAAGCAAGAAAACATTAAATAATACAATAGGCAATGTTTATCAGTGCTGATAAGTATAGATTTGCACTGATAAATTCACTGGCAGGAGGACAGGCTGCTTAAATTAAGCCACTAGTACAAGTTGAGTGAATGGCAACGAATCATTACTGATATTGCCCGAAACTAGGAAACTAGCAGGTTTAGAATATGCTCTTCTCACTTCTGCGCTGGAACAAATGCAACGGAAGACAACAGAACTGAAAAAGTCGCACTGTGGCTGAAACTGGAAAGCAGTGAGCTCTGACCAAGGTGCATGTGAAGGAGAGTTTAGAATGAGCAGATGAGGCTGACTTTAACTAATGGTACCTCTGGTTTTCAGTGGCCTGTCATTGCTCTCAGGGAATATGTAGGTGGGACGGTATGGGTTTTCCTCAACAGGCTCTGAATAAGGTGGATGACAGACAGAACACACACTGAACAGCATGAATGCACACAAAGAAACAGATGCAGCACAAATCTGATCTCACTCAATACACAACGGTACATAAAAAAGCAGCAGTCATGGTCATGGGAAGAGCTATTTACCTGGGACTCTGTGGATTTGTTTGAACATGTTTTTGTACCAGTCCTTGGACTTCTCTGTGTTCTGTAAAACATTATGCAATGAGGGTCACACATACACCTGGTGGTACCAAGGTTACAACCTGAACTGGACACTAAGTGTTTGAAGGTAACCACCACAGCAGGTCTACTATCACTTAAAAAATCGGAATTAATACAGCTTCAAATCATATTTGTAAAACAAAAGTATGACTACGAAGTAGTAGCACAGTACAATAAAAGAAGGTTCTGATAAAACATCTAATGAAATTATAATAAAATTAAAAGGTAATTCCGTTAATTTTCAAGAATTCTGCATAATTATATGGTTCAGATGTAAACAAAGTCATTCAGAGTGGTTCGATGTGAAATGGTCTAGAGAACCTTACCAAGACAGAACTGTTCCCAGTGGTGGTGAAAGGCAGCAGGTATCCACCTCTAAAAGCTCTCTCAGAGTTCTTACAAGAAACGGTTATGAATAACCTGCCTAAAGTGTCCGTGACACTATTTACAATAGTGTTTAGATTAAATTTTGACCTAAAACATCATTCTTAAAGCACATTCATGGTGTAAAGATACATGAACTGCACCATGAGGTAAAACAGTCCGCAAAGAAAATTTATTTTTCAAGATTTTCCACTATTTTACATTACATATAAAAAACTCAGAAGACACATAAAAGTTCACTGGTGGTTTAGGTTTGGGATAGTAAATAAAATGGCTATATTTGTGTTGACACCTGGTTTCTATCACCACCACTGCAAAGAAATCTCAGTCAGTAAGTTACTCTACAATCAACCATTTCACATCAAACCAATCTGAATGACTCGTTTTTATCCCAACCATTCAATTATATAGAAAGTTTGAAAAATGGGTGGAATTTTCCCTTAACATTCAGAATGCCTTTCTGTACAAGATATAGTATCAACAGATAATTACAAAATTCTATAATCATTTAATTCAATTAATTAGGCAAACAAATAATTGAACAAAACAAATTGAATAAATTTTGATGACCTTTGTGACTATACATTTTGAATGATGTAAAAAACTATTATTATCACAAGTGATTGCAAATTTATGAAGGGTAGTGTACTTGTAAAACTGGCCGTCTAGCATGTATCGATAAAAAGTGCTACTGGGGGAAAAAAGCAAACAAACAAATCTAGTGTGTTATGAAAAATACTTCACGCCTATGATAACTTCAAAGGGCCTGATAAACCTGAACTGAAAACTCATCCCTATTGAAGCATTACATGTTAGCAAAAGATCTCTTCTCTCTTACCCGTACAGGGACTCTAGGCTTCTCCGGTGGAACAGGGCACGGTGAGTGCATGGTCATCCTCATTCTCTTGCCCTCCATCTGACCGGAGGGGCTGTTAGGGCCTTCAGGTTGTGGCCTGACCTGGTTCTGACTGGAGCTCTGATCACACACTCTGCTCTGCTCCGCTGCAGCGTCTGCAAACCAACACTGCACACTGTCACACTCAGAGTGAGAAATCACAACTAATACAGACCAACCTGGATTAACGAAAGTGTCTTAAGAACATTCTTAAGAAAAAAGTTACGAAAAAAAAATTACCATTCTTCAACTAACTACTTAAGAATTATCTTATTCTTAATTTTCTTAAGCATAATTCTAAGAACAAGTTGTATTCTTGAAAATATTATGTTAAATGTTTTCTTAACCTTACAATAGCTTCACACTTGTCTTGTCACCTGTCACACTTGGCTGTAAGAGTTAACAAGGTCAGCAACTAAATTTATCATGGACACCGCCTCTGCTACTCCTGCCCATCCTTGTCCGTCAGCCCACACTTATCATATTTTCCAATGAGGACTTTTTTCCTGTTGGCTATTTCTTCCACCATTGCCTCTAGTTCTTGTTTGCTAAATTTTTTAAAATGCTTGGTTTGATGTTTTTCCTCCATTTTGCTGTCCTCTGATTGGATCAAACTAAATAATGGAAATAACAGCCAATACAATTTCAAAATGTATCTCGCGTCATTTATGGTACATGGTAAAATGCAACTTAGCCAAGATAAGAAAACTTAAGAAAATAATTAAGATTTTCTCAAGAGAATATTTAAGAACTTTTAAAGTTTTTATTCAAGAATGGCATTTAAGGACATTCTTATAAACTTCTACGTGATTGTCTTAAGAACTTTCACAAGTTTTTCTTAAGAAAGCTTTCATGAATCCGGCCCTTGGAGCTTAGCACCAGACTCCTATTGGTTTGATTAACCGTTGGGTCTTTAATATGCCTTCTAAGTCTTTCACAATGACATGTATGGCAAACTGTTTTGTACTTGAAATGTGAGTTTTTGACTATTTGATACTGATACCAAATGACACGGCACTCAAATCTGCAATTCTGTATTCATTTAATATCGATTCAATGCTCCATTTGAATAATTATACAGTATATCTACTCTATTATTAGTTACCATGTAATTAACAAAAATATCAGAATACTGGACGCCAAAATTACAAATTAGCATCAATATGCATATCAAATATCACAATGAATTTTGACAATAAACTTTGTTTGTGTTATGTTTCTTTCAACAGATCTCTAACATCTGATATATGTATATTTTGATTAGACTGGCCTTTACCTCTGCTGTGCTGCAGCAGGACAATGGTTGGATTTACGCTGCTGGTAGGTGGGTATGAGGAAGACCCCCTGACTGATGATATGAGAGCACTCGGAGGACCTGAGCTGGAGGAGAGGTGAGACTGATCCAAGCTTTCAGGACACTTAACCTGAATAGAATGTTACAACATCAGGGAAGTATAAACAACCACATCTATACATTCCACGCTGTTCCTGTGGGTTTTTTTTTGTCCAGTTGCATTTTACAAGCACACAAAATAGACAAAGGACAAAATATTGCTTTTTTTCAATAATTTAAATGCACTTTGATTCAAATTAAAACGAAATAAACCACACAAAACACAGAATATAACTTATTCTAACATTTATGTAGCCAAGCAAATGTGCAAAGAATATCATATACTGAGTACAGTGATAACATTTATAAAATAACTAGTAATTTCCTTATAATTATTTGACATTAAATCTTGTTTAGTACTCGTACCCAAGTGATCTGTATAGAAACAACTCAGCTAAAAAGAACAATGTTTTGGCAGGGTGACTTACCTCTTTTGGAGCCTTATTGACCTGCGCTGAATTTAAATCAGTTCCGATGCCTTTTACCTCTTCCTCTGCCAAATTGGTTTCTGTGGCATCTCCGTTGACCGCCTCAAGCCACCCACCTGTAACCAGTCCAAACAGCTTGGAGTCTAAAAGAGTCCATAAATCTCCCAAGAGCCTCTTTACACCTAACAAGGCATAAACATGAAACACTGCTGCCTCCACTTGGCAGTAAACCTGTTTGTTTTCAATGCTAACCACAAACTACCCCAGAACAGAACTGTTAATCCTCAATTAAAACGAATTGCCAGTCCCGTCTGCCAGTATGGACTACTTCCCTGAAAAGGTCTTCATCCACAGAGATGCTAATTTCCCGTGGCTGGGAACAACGATTCTCTCACAATCTGTGAACTCTGTCATCAGAACAGGGAGACCATTGACTCCACTGTAAGAAGTGTTTGTTTCACTGGCCTTTTTATTCTGGCGCAATAATTAAAGCATCTCCCCCATGTCCTGGCAGCAAGCCAGCATAGCTCTAACACTATGATCACCAATAACTCCATGCGGCGGTCCCAGCACCCAATGTGGGAGTTCTAGACAAAAGCTTTCTGTGACAGACCCCGGTAAATATGAGCTCTCATCGAAAGTTATTTGCGCTGCCGAGCAACCAAGCCGCCCATCAAACGTTGCTGAGTGTGTTTCCTATCAAAACACTCGGGCACTTTTAACTTGGGTGCTGAGAGATGAATTCAATGGACCAAATTATTGACTAAGTTTTATTATTGATCAAATTAATTATTGATATCAATTATACACATAAATATATGTAAGTGAAACAGAACCACTGAACACAAAACTGTGCACTTTATTATGCACATCATTCAGAAAAAAGAGTTAAAACACGGACGGAAACGCCTTCTAACTCACACTTGGCTGGGTTTGTGGCTGACTCTTGGGGGAAACAGTCTTCATCGTCGATGTGGACTAGTGTGGCTCTCAGGGTTACAGCACCCTTCCCCTTACACACACGAGTGGGATCCAACTCTGCGGGGCAGCGACACATAAGAAACAGTAGAAGACAAACAAATGAGATAAAATGGCTGTTAAAACAGGCTTGTTCATTATATCTAACACCAGATCAGGACTGTGTCACTCAACAAGCTTTAGTGAGTTTGACTTTAGAGGTAAACTCTGTGTTTGTGGACTGTGGGAAATAACAGATGCTCTCACCAGTGGGCATAAGGTCAGGGGAGCTCTTCATGGTCCTCAGAGGAGTCACCCGCACAGCAGAGAGGCTGCGTGGACTCGAAAGGAGTGGACGCGCTGCCGGATACAAGCAACCACGTGTGAGCATAAGTGAGATGCTTCAGACAATTAGTACTATTCAAGACTGATTACATGTTATTCAGTATTGCATTGCATCATCTCACAATTTACACTGGAAGTAAATGAGGTACAATAGAATGTTAAAAAGGATAAGTATAACAGCAGAATGTAACGCAGCCCGAAAGCAGTTTGTTATTTGTTGGACTGACTGGACTTGTGAGTTCATACACAACAATGAGAATGCCATCATGACTGAATCATCATTTGAGGGGCCTCTGGTGTCAGGTTATATGATTATGATCCAAATCAGAAATTAAAGTTTTGCGTTGAAAGTGAATTTTAGCTGTTGCAATGTCTACTTGGTCTATTTCATACCGATCAGGCATAACATTATGACCACCTCCTTGTTTTATGCTCATTGTCCATTTTATCAGCTCCACTTACTATATAGGTGCACTTTGTAGTTCTACAATTACAGACTGTAGTCCATCCGTTTCTCTGCATACTTTGTTAGCCCCCATTTACCCTGTTCTTCAGTGGTCAGGACCCCCATGGACCCTCACAGAGCAGGTTCTATTTGGGTGGTGGATCATTCTCAGCACTACAGTAACACTGATGTGGTGTGTCAGCGTGTGTTGCGCTGGTCTGAGTGGATCAGACACAGCTGATAAAATAGACAATTAGCATAGAAACAAGGAAGTGGTCATAATGATATGCCTGATCGGTGTTTATTCTTTAGTGATGCATGATGATACTTGCTTTCTATCAGTATCAGCAGATAATTCTTTATGCTGCTGTTTAGATCTGACCGATACTTAAAACCGATATTTGATAAGATTTATTGTATGTATAGTTTTTATGGTGTTAAAAAGATCTGCATTTTATTAATTTTGCTGCATTTTTAACCCTACAGAAATCTATTTTTCCTTTATGCTAATCCATGTAGGTTTAGCTCCAATTTCTACACTTTCAAAATGTTTATGTATCAGCAACAACAGATATGTTCCTGAAAAATACTGGACGTCGGCATCGGCCCTAAATTCCCTTACCGTTGTATCCTAAATATACTTTGTAAGTTTTTTTCTGTTTGTATTTCCATTCTAACCCCTCTCTTATTTAGTACAAAGTACTACAAAGAACAAATAAACACCCCCGCTGTCAGGGGAAAGAAAGCTAACACATGAGAGCGAGCGAGGAAAGATAGATGGGTTGAAGGATGTAGAGGCCCCGGCAAAGAGGGACACAAACTCAACAATACTGTAATCCAGCAGGGAGCACAGAGAGAGCCTGTGTGTGTTTGCTCACTCATGAGCCTTCCTACAGCAAGAAATCAACTATATGCCGGAAAACATGGGTGATTCAAAGCGCTGTGAACAGAATGTACGTATTGACCATAATGCGGACAATGAATTACAATGGGTAAGCATTGAAAGACTTCAGACTGCACAATTTTGCCTACTAATCTAAATATAACATTAATATATAAATAGTTCCCAATTTAGAACTGGTAATGGAATAGAAAGCGTTTTCAGCAGGAACACTAAATTTCAATTTAAGAATTTCAGTGTTTCAATATTACTATGGAGGAAAAATGATCCATAGGCCATTCTACACTCCTAAAATAAAAAGAATTATAAACAGAACTGTTTGGGATTCATCTGGTTGTTCCTACAGAAGAATTATCAATATATCATTTTGGCAAGTGGGATGAGCATGTGGTCCACCTCAGCTAATTTACTACTGCTACTTTACTACTACTTCCGCTGTCATTGGTATTGTGAGCCTTCAGACAGTAAAAGTATTTGAGGAGCTGCTCAGGAGGTCCATCTTCATGGTTAAATGTTGTTGCACCCAGAACTCAGAAAGCTTATGGATAAAATCCAAAAGCAGACAGGCAGAAATGAAGCAAAGTGTGAAAGACTCACCAGGGGTGGCATCAAATCGCACTGTGCCCCCTGCTGGAGAGCCCTGTGAAGAGTGAAAGAAGAGATCAAACACGGGAACAAAGATGCAGAAAAGGTTCTTCTCTACCTCTAGATGTGACAAAACTGTATACAGGACATCATAAGCTTTAGAAAGACATTGCCATAATCTTTGCATGTATTATAAGACCATGGGAGCTCTTCAGAACTAGCCTGGCTAAATGCACAATTACAAACAAATAATTTAACCCAAGTTATTTAACCCGAAACAGATTTGTTTTCTGAGTTAAATGATGTGCATCAGTTTAATGATTATATAAAAGAAAGCTTTTTACACTTTCCATTCTTTAAACCAAAATACCAATAAACAAGACCTATATATATACATATATATATATATATATACACACACACCATGTCAGAGACGACACGTGATCCACCACCCAAAAAAATACAAGGTGCACCTTTATGGTAAGTGGAGCTGATAAAATATGTGATATACATACACACAAACACGAGACACTATCCCTAAACTGACATGTAAAGGTTCTATATCAATCAAATGATTTTTGGAAATTACACACCCAAAGTTTTGTCATTCTAAAAAGGCAGATACACCTGTCACAAACTCAAAATCAGAAATAACATGAATTATAAAGCTATACTCAGAAAAATGATTACCAAAATAAATGAACCAGTGAAATTTATTGTTACCACAACAAAGGGTCTACAAGCACTTGAAATATTAAGCCTTTAGAATGAATATTAACCGCAGTTCTCTCAAAGAGCTCTGGTTAGCATAGTCACTGCTTTGCATAATCCTAAATGGAAATGGTCCTCAGTCACTGTCTCAGACAAGCAAATATGTAACAGCAATTTGTAATGCAATAAAGTAGAAGAAAAAAGTGTGTATCAAACTGCACACTAAAGTAGAGGGATAAAAATTTCATTCATTTTCCCACTGTTTACCAAATATCTAAAACACAACAGCGATTAATGCTATGTGCATATATATTTACTGAGCACAGTTACCTATCCTCATGTTGTCTGTTATAAAAAGATCTAGTTAGTTTCATAATTTGCCACTATCAAACACTATCAGTTAAATGTTACATTAGCTCGTCTTATTCTGATCCCTTACAGTGGGTTTTCCTTAGTGCAACACTCATAAGGTCCTTGTCCAAAGAGAGAAACACTCTCTTAAACAGTCCCTGTTTGGTGAGGCTTGGAACGGGAGACGGCCATACTGTCCTTTTCTCTTCCAAGGACTCAACCTTGACCATGCTTTGATTGTTTCCACACCACGACCACCAAGATGGACCTGTCACCACTTGCCACCTGGGAATGTGGCACCTACTTAACATGTCTAGACCAAATTACACCATCAAACTCCTCATCCCCATCTAACATACCAGGCATCCGCATGAGAGATAGCAAATATCTCATACCTTCTCAGAATTCAAATGTCCATCGTGTAGACAGCCAAACTGCTGTTCAGGAGCGTCTGGAGGCTGGGGAACAGGGCACAGGCCAGACTGAGCACTGACCATGGCGTTATTCTACAGTCAACACCAGCACGAGCTCTTTTGTTAGGATCACAGGCACCTGATCAAGAGCACCAAGGGATAGCTCGTCATATTTGCCACTCACTCGTTAGAGGCAGTTAGGGAGGTTTCAGTCCCCAGCCGGTCTGCCACATTCCAGACAGACATACGCATAAAACAAGTGGGCCTGATGGGCATGCCACAGATAGAAACCTAGTGATGTCAACAGTAGGATGAATAAAGGGTTTCCAAATATGAAAATGACAGAGAGTATTACACAATACATACGTTTGAACATCAGAATGTAAAACTAGAAAAGAAACCTGGTACCAACATTCCTGATTTCCTACTTCAACCTTATTTTGAAGGTCTAAAATCAGTCTGCAACAGCACAGATTTTAGAACAGTCCAGAAATGTGTTCAGCACAAATTTAAGGAAAATTATTTAGTTTTGGGTTTATTTTTAATGTTTTATACTGAATAACAGGCATTACTGAACTGCTAAGTTTGTGCTGTATAGGATTACTTGATGATAGTCTAATTACATTATATACAGATACAAAGACATGCCCAGGCCACTTTTATGCTTTTGTTTCAGAGGGTTAAACATGATTTATAACCAATGGCACCTATTTAAACACAATCAGCAGACTGTCTTTAAACTGGACTTCTAACATATGGTGTTATGTCTGTGATCAAGTTTCACAAAAAAAGCAGCAAAATCGTTTCATGCTAATCCAGAAGCCTCTAGAATGTAACTGTAGAGCACTGTCTGCATCCCTGCTTGCTTCTTCATCTACCATCAACATCTCAAAGGGAGGCACATGGACAAATTTACTATGATATTCCATCCAGGAGTCTCTAGGGGATTACCTCACTGTGAAAAAGAGCGCCGCATTAGTACACAAAAGAGCTGTAGACGGGGGTCTGCTGTATGCAGAGAGAAGAAGAAAGAGAGAGAGAGAGACTAGTTACGTAAGTCAGCGTTTGACTTTTGCTTTGTCAACAAATGGCAGAGGGGGGTAGAGATAGAGCAGGGCCGCGCTGGATCATAGCGCACAGCTCCAAACATGGCTCTAGAGGAGTGCTGGAGACCAGCAGCCGGACCGCTTTAATTGAGAAGACCCTCTCAGTACCGTAAACATCTTCAGCAGACACGCTGGCCCGCGGCCCGCACTGACGCGCTCCAACTGTTCCAGCTTCTCCGCTCCTCCGCTCTCCCAGCAGTAACGTTTAAACAACTGCAGCGTAAAAGGAAATGTATGCGCCTCCTGCGTTTTCCTCAGCTAGCCTGGATCTGTACATGCCTTATTTTAGCACACTACAGTCACTGTCAGCACAGTGAATGATAACAAAACTAAAGACTAAAGAGGCTGGATGCAAAAGCAGTCCCTGTCTGCTCTTTAAGGAGCCCAACATATATTATTACAATTCAGGTTTGGTGAGCATCACCCACACCTAACCTTTAATGTTAAATAAGAATTTTATTTTATAAATTAGCACTGAAGGTAAGACTCCTAGAGAAGTCTAAACCTCTTCAGTTCTTCTATTTAAATTCTTCTTTAACCTCTCACGTTCGAAGGGCCTGTATGTTGGCCCAAAACTCAATTCCTCACTCTCATTACTTCATAATTTACATATTACTTTAATAGTAGTCACTGAATAACACAGTAGTTACTAAATACTAGGTCTTAAGATTAATAACTGAGCAAAGCCTGCCGTTTGATAGATTAAATGTGGATATGGCCAGTGTCTTAAGTCAGAGACCACCCTTTATTTTGCAGTCAAAAGGGACCTGTCTGAGTTATTCATTTTCAATGCCGGAAAAAAAGAAAACATATAAGTCAATTTACACAGAAGCCGCAACAATTAAATTGTAAACAAGTAAACTGTTCACTGACTGCCTTTATTACAGCTTCCAGTTTTTTAAGAGACTTGCTTTCAGTTTTTCAAAGAAATTTCTATTGCCTTAGAAGCTGGTTGTATGTTCTGTCTCTCACGATCCAAGTAATTCCAAACTATCAGTGATACTGAGATCTGGACTCTGGGGTGGTCAGTCCATTGTTCTGAGAACCACCAGCAGCTTTTTTGTTTGATCTGCAAATGTTCTTCTTTTCTGTCTATTTCCTTTTCTTAGTAAGGGCTTCTTGGCAGCTACAGATCCTTTCAGACTCATAGTGCTTTTTGTCTCACATAGAGTTTTTTGTCTCACAGTGGAAGGATAGACAGAAACACCTGTGGATTTTTTCAGATCTGAAGCAAGAGTAAAGCTTGATTTTCTCCTCTCTCTCAAAGATGAACACTTTAAGTACTGTTTAACTGATGGTGACAGTTGTGGTGGTCTACCAGGTTGTTAGGAGTCCCATTTTCTTTATCGCTTCTAATATTTTTTCTTTTAATAATCTTTTAATAATACTTTTCCCTTCCTTATGCAAGCTTATATATCCTAACTTGTACTTAATGGCTGTTTTGACTAGAAATTAAATAAATGGAGGGTGGTCTCTGATACTGCGTACACAATACTCCATTTTTGTGACACCAATGGCATTTTACAATTTACACTCTCTGACATATTAACCAGGAGAAAGCGCCCTCTGTAAACAGCCCCTGATGTCATTAACCACACATTAGTGCTGACCGCCAGACCAATGCTGATCTCTCAGTGACCAAAGCAAACCACACAGGCTGTTGAGGGCTACCAAAGAAAGAAACCAGAAATAATGATACATGTAAGGCCACAAACCACAGGCTTATTATGCAGTTGTTAATATTAAAACTTATTATTCAGTAACTACTATGAAACTGAAATATGTAAATTTAGTGACAGATAGAGAAACTGAAGTGTGGGCTCACATACAGGCAGGCTTCATTGCGAGTTCATATCAGAAACTTGCATGGGTGGTGAGTAAACAGTAGCAGGGACGAGTCAAAGGTTCCTGGCATGGCTCTGGTCAGCCGGGGCAGGCACGACAAGGACAACAGGCGTTCACAGAACAAGGGGGTGTCCGAGCATGCGCGGCTCTATCACTGTCCAGGCCTGACAAACAGCCTTTATCTATGATGTAGATATCTCACAAAGTCTGACCAGGCCATAATGCCATTGCCCAACAGGGTTTAAAGAGACTTTTTTACTAAGAGTCCATTTAAAACTACATTTGATGAGTTTCAATTATAGATGATAGAGTAATATAGATACTCAATCAAGCAAGCAAGCAACCTTTGTTTAAACTCAGAGTACACTGAGGGTGACTCTCATTTACAATGTAGCCGAGCATTTTACACAAAACAGAGGACTAAAAGGAGTAAAGATAACTTCATAAAACTAAAAGTACAGCAAAGAAAATAAAATTAAACAGCAAAGAAAATAAAAAAAAAACAGTAAATAGAACAAATAAAAAATGTAAGTTTACTATTAATATACAAGAGTGAAAATGTAATCCTTAATGATATATAGTTTCAAAAACTTTGACATACAGTGGTGTGAAAAAGTGTTTGCCCCTTT